GAAATGTGTTCCAAACTTGAAAAAATACGGAGTAGAAATGAAGCAACAAATTTGAATTAAGCAAGTAAATTAGGCAAAGAAATTCCACATTCTAATTGATCACAGAAAATTTGAACTAAGCTAGTAAATTGGTTTGGATATGTTTTAAATAAGTAACGTTTCCAAACCATACATAGTTTGGTTCTCATATGGTATTCGTCTCAAACTCATGTACCAAATTGAACAGGGCGGTCATAGTAACACTTATTTGATGCATATTAAGGGCTCAATTGGTAAGTCCTAAATTGGATTAGGTGGCCTAATAAATGGTAGCAGAGATAGTTGTATATGTAGTCCTCTAAACCATTTGAAATACATTTGTAAAATATAAAAAGTAATTCAACAGTAATGAAATACCAAAGCAATGATACTACAGCAATATAGGCTAAAGTTTGTGTCAATTGACAAACCTTAAGAATTGTCATGCTAGTGACTAAATGAGAACTATCAACAATAATCATGAGGCTAAAAGCTTAGTCACATTTTGGCATTTAACTGGTTCAGAAGCATATCTTGTTACATAAAGTCTTGACCAACTCACCCATCTAGACATAATGGTGGTTGTAACTTGTAACATGATGCAAGCGTGCAATATTACATACACTATTTCTCCTACTTTCCTGGAGATACACACTCAAATTGTCTATAGATGTGAGAAACCACTCCATCCTTATCCATTGCAAGATGGATAGGTATTGTTCATTGTTCCCGGTTTGTATTCCCTTGATTCAAATCTCTCTATTTATAACAGAACTCACATCGTCATTCGTCAATCTTCATTTGGTTTATCTATGAAAGTAATACATGCAGAGTAATGCAAATTAGTGTTTATTATTCAAGCCCATTGCGATAATTCCGACATCAAATACCCATTTCAATGTGAATAAAGAATGTATAGAAAGTCCATACATTCTGGAAGTTCTAGACTTTTTAGTGGCTATAAATTCCAGACTTGTTGTAGCTTTCTTTTTTGTTATTTTCATCCGATACAAATTGGTAAAGGAAGACCTACTAAAAAAGACGGCTAGATGAGTAAAACTCAATAAATAGACAATATGCAGATTTTAAATAAACAAATGCAAAAGTAGTGTGTAACATGAATGGAAAATCTAGATGGACATATAGACTGTACGAGTTAAAATGGATTTCAAATTCTACTTTCAAGAGAATATGAAATTATTCATCACAAATCACATTCATCGTAACAAATTGGAAACAAATCTTCATGAATTGAAAATGAATTATAAATAATACAGTGACGTTGTTCAAAAACATAGCAGAAAAGGGAATATGAGAACACCTTGATGGAGAAAAGGCTATGAAACGAGAAATGCATAAAAAAAATCAAGACTAAAACTATTAAATCAATTAACTGTAAAACAACTGAAATTAAATATCGTAAAATAGAATTAGGAAGGATGAACTGACCTTATTGAAAATTTTAAGCAAAAAATTGCTCACAAGAGAAATAAAAAAGGACTTTGTCCAAATAATTATATTCTCTAATTTGAAATTTGAATCTAAATACATCATATTGTTCAATCCCAACAACTCCTCTACCTAGATGTTTTTACTTGGACTGTAATTTGTCCCAGACCAGACCAGACCAGATCAGATCAGACCAGACCAGACTTGGGTAGTTATAAAAATACAAAGAAACCAGACCAGACCAGACCAGACTAGACCAGACCAGCAAATTACAGTCCAAGTAAAAACATCCTAAATAGGATTCATTCTTCCAATCACCTAGAACATATGGTGTTTCCTTACCCCCAAATATTTTTGAAAAAATTGATAGTAATAATCCCAACTATGGTCGGTCCGCTTATAATAATCCCAACTATCGATTATTTCAGAATAATCCCAACTTTAGGGACCTTCCGCCAATACTGGTCCCTTTAAATAAATTCTTGTAGTTTCTAAAGTGGATGAGGAGAGATATAACAAGTAATCCCTATAAGTAATCCCAACTTTTAATTTTTAAACTTGATTTCTATTTAAAATTCACTTTTTGAGGGTGTACTATTTGGTCATGGACCATTATTGGCGGACTGTCCATATAGTTGGGATTATACAAAAATAATCAATAATTAGGATTATTATCAGCGGACTGTCAATAGTTGGGATTATTAATTTCAATTTTTCCAATATTTTTTCAAATTGAAGAGGTACACCTTTAAATAGCAAACTAATAATCACAAATCTATTTTTTTTAACAAAACTGACCTCTTTTCATATCATAAGTAGTTTCAGGATCATTACATCAATCAAAGGAGAAACAAAACTGACACCAGCTAAACACCAATAACTATGACCAAACTTGGAGACTGACACCCCTGAAAGAGGCAAACCCCGCTCACTTTTCCTTATCAGTTTCTCCTTCCTCTAAAAGAGGCTGGCTTTCGGAGAGATACTTAGCCAAATTCAACGTTATTAAATAAAACAACATTTTTTGTTGCCAACATTTAAATTCATGACCGTTGAATTTGCTAGGTTTCTCCCCATGAGATGAACTGACCGGGACAATAGTGAGCGGGGTTAATTTTGGAAAAGTGATGTTTGATTCGTCTCCCATTCTGTTTACACAAAACAGACGGATTCAAGGATTAAAATTGTTGCTTTTGACAACAAAATTATGAATATACACAAAATATAAAAGAGCACGTTGAATAAACAAATTAACTTTATATAACGATTATTGATGAAAGATTAATTGAAATGATCAATCGTTTAAAATAAAGTGACAAGTTATTTAGAAGTGAATAACTACGTAATATAAGCATGACACAAGAAATAAATTTAAAATTAATATGCAATTCTAATATCTAAACTTGCAAATTGGTGGTTAACAGTTAATGCAGATATAAAACTTGAACGAATACTTAATTGAAACAGATATGTGAGATTGGTATCTGCCAATGCGATGGGCAAAATATATTATACACCGGCTGTACCGTGTCACTGGGTACAGCCAGGCATTTTTGTAATTATATGCAAACCGGAGGTCATTAGTTAAGGATCATGGGTTTTGCTTCCTCTGTTTCTCCTCCGTTCTTGCCTTTCCCTGATTTTTCTTTTTGCTTTTCCTTATATTTTAATTTTTTAGTTTTTACTCCTTTCTTCCTCTTCCGTTACTTTACTGCTCTTCCGTTTTTTAGTTTTGTTTTTCCGTTCTTTTAGTCTTGCTTCTCGTTTTTCCTTTCTTTTTTGTAGTTCTGGTTTTCCTTTTTCTTCTTTTAGTTTGGAACTTTAATTCTTCTATGTTTCAATTTTCTTTTTCTTTTTTCTGCTTCAGTTTTTTTTTTGTCTCTAAATTTGAACTTTAATTTTTCCAACTTTAAATTTTCTTTTTCTTTTCTATACTTCATTTTTTCTTTTATCTTTTTATATATACGTTTTGTCTTCTGGATCACTAATTTTGAACTCCTACTTTTTTGTTTTTATGTAATTTTGCTACAATAACTTTTTGTCTTTTTCATGCAATTCTTTCAAAAATTCATAACAAATGCGATGCAATAAAAACATATACACCTATTCTTTATGTTATACTGATATGAGCATACACAAATTGATATTTTAGCATAGTAGAGATTTTAAATGAGATTTTTAATTTTTTTTATACTCATTTCATAAGTTACTTATGCTCATTTGAAATTGGTGTAATGCTCACTTTAAAATGAGTATTACACCAGACATTTTAAAATGTCATATCCTTGCATATTGGTGTAATGCTCATTTTAAATATTTTGATGCTCATTTCATAAGTTATGTATTCTCATTTGTTGAATTTGTACTCATACTATGCTCATTTTTAAAATGTTATATTCATGCAAATTTTAAAAGTTGCATATTACATTGGATTCACATTGTTAAGTTCTTAATACTCAATTAAATAAGTAAAGTGTTTTAATGCTCATAATAGGTCCAATGCACATTACAAGTTCATAAATACTCGTTTAACAGAAATTGTAATTTCATCTCAATAGAGGAGATTTGATGCTCAATGAAAATGTCGTTATGTCAAACTAACAAATCTTACGATTTTCATATCATTGAACATTTGTAAGTTACGTATGCTCATTTAGTACTAATCTTATGCTCATTTTCTAAATGTTATCAATGTATTTTTATAAAGTACTATTAAGATTTATAAAAGAAATAATAATAAAAAGAAAGTGAAGTTATGAATTAGAAGTTATGAAACAGAGATCACGATTCTGAATATTAGACTTCTAATACTCGACATTAGAAGTGCTTAGTGGGAGGTCTCGAATTCGAAACCCGCTAGGCACATAAGGGTTCGAAACTAAATGGAGTTAGTTTCAACCCTGATTACTCCAGGCTCCCCCTAGCCCCCCTCCCCCAGACCTCCCCTGGAGTAAAAAAACAAAAAAAAACTCAACATTAGACTTCTAATACTCAACATAATAGGTTTGATGCTCATTAAAAGTTCAGTAATGCTCATTCACTAGAAACCGTGATTTTCATCTCAATAATGGATGTTTGATGCTCAATTAAAATGATGTTCATGGTGTACTTAGGTATGGCCAAGAAAAGAATAAAATTTCACTTTTGATCATACGAGTATTACACTAATTCTACAATTAGTTCATGTTTCTTACTTAAAACACTATTAGCACATGAATATTGTTTTTTGCTCATATATGATCCTTCCATTGATATTACTACTGGTTAAAATCGCTAGATAAGTGTGGGAAAATTGAACAAAAGGATCAAAATGGTGAAAAAATATTAGTCAAATATCAAATTCTCATCTCTTTATTCATGGTGTACTTAGGTATGGCCAAGAAAAGAATAAAATTTCACTTTTGATCATACGAGTATTACACTAACTAGTTATCTAACCCGTGCGTTGCACATGATGAAAAGTTAGTTATTTTGACAACAACTTTTTAATATGGACTTCTCTTAAAAAGTGTTCACCAACAGTTCTATATATAATTCAATATTATAATTCATTTATTTTTCTAAATGAGCGCATAATATTGTCTTTTGATGTGAATTAAAATGTTCTCAATAATATTCAAGACAAAATGTAATATTACAAATTGGTAACGACCTCTTTGTATGCAACATTTAATGTGGAGTTTATCGGTCTACCATAATTGTCACATATCAAAAACTTCAAACCAGCTGGACTCGTGACTCTAGATACAACAACGTAAAGCTGCTCATGGGTGAAAACCGGTCGCCGTAAGAATATCCCAAAATTTTCCAATGATTGACTTTGACTCTTATTTATAGTCATCGCATAACTAATCATAAGAGAGAATTGTCTGCGCTGAAAGGTGAATGACAGTTTGATATCAGAAGATGTGCTTGTTATGAATATAACACATGGTATAATTATCTAAGAATCACGTTTGAAGAATTGTAGTTGAAATGAAATACATTTCTTAGCCCTAACAAACATTATCTCTTTTTTCACACATTTAATAAAAAAAAAACATTATATATTGTAGAGTAGCATACCTTAATCTTATCACTCCAAGATGATAAGTATCCAAATCAGTTTTGAAGTTTATACTTGTATAATAATAACTTCATCTACGTTCCTTTTTATTAGCATAATGAATGAAAAGTTTTTTTTATGGAATATACTATCTGTTCATAGCATAATGAATGGAAAGTTATTCAAACAAATAAGATCTCATCTCTTTATTCATGGTGTACTTAAGTATGGCCAAGAAAAGAATAAAATTTCACTTTTGACCATACGAGTATTACACTAATTCTACAATTAGTTCATGTTTTTTACTTAAAACACTTTTTGATATTACTAATGGTTAAAATCGCTAGATAAGTGTGGGAAAATTGAACAAAAGGATCAAAATGGTGAAAAAATAGTAGTCAAATATCAAATTCTCATATCTTTATTCATGGTGTACTTATGTATGGCCAAGAAAAGAATAAAATTTCACTTTTGATCATACGAGTATTACACTAATTCTACAATTAGTTCATGTTTTTCACTTAAAACACATTTAGCACATATGACTATTGTTTTTTGCTCATATATGATCCTTCCGTTGATATTACTACTGGTTAAAATCGCTAGATAAGTGTGGGAAAATTGAACGAAAGGATCAAAATGGTGAAAAAATATTAGTCAAATATCAAATGTGGACAAAGTAAAAGACGTGAACTAAATGTGAAATTGACATAAAACCCCAAAGACTAAAAGTGGAATAAAACTCCAAAAAGATGTACTCCGAAAAAATTCTTTCTGCCTACAGCTAGAAAAGAGAAGGCTTGTTGATGAGTCCGCCAATATTTTTTAAAGAGACAATCGCACTTTTAGTCCCTGAAATAGTCACCATACTGAAATGTCAAACTCGTATTTCCGAGATTATTTATGCCGCTTCTCAATTGTCCAAACCGTTGTAAATGTGCTCTTTTGAGGGGTGAAATATACTCTTCACCCACATTGTAAATTTAACCCCTCAATGAATCACATTTACAGCAATTTGGACAATTGGGAGTGACATTTACAAACTCGGATACACAAATCAGACATTTCAATAGGATGACTATTTGAGGGACTAAAGTGCGATTTCCCCCTTTTTAAATTACCCGACTGTGCATCATCAATCTGCTCGAAATATTATGACATTGAAGCTCGTTGGGCTTCCGCCTTTCAAACCCTCTAAGATGCAAACATCACCAATTTTCAGCTTGTTGTCTAACACGAAGTCCTTCCATCCAGTGATCTTGACACAAGCTGATCTACCTATGATGCATTTGGCAGACCATGATCTCCCACTCGAAATTAGCAATAAATCATTATGCACTGAAGTAAAGACGTTCTTAGCAAATGGCAAGGAAATGCTCTGAAAAACAACAAAGCGTTAGTATAACAGTCTATTTAGTAACTCCTTATTTTTAACTTATTAACTTTATCGGTCAACTTTATTTAATTACTTTTTTGGCCGAATTGGCTGAAGTTAACGTGGAGGATCATTTTAGGAGCTATTTTCATATAAGTTTCTCTTAAGTTATTAGTGAAATATATTTTAAATACTACGAATAATTTTTCTAGAGAAAACCGTTAATTTGGCCCCTGTATTATACCGAAAATGTCGATTAAGTCTTCATACTTAAAAAACACTCAAATGATCCCATGTACTCCTAAAAACACTCAATTCAACCCCTGTACTCCTAAAAACACTCAATTGAGCGAAGAATTGACCATTCACCGATTTCCTAGTCAGATACACGCATGGTAGTCCATGTGACGGACCAGGTGGCACATTTTTCTTTTTTCTTTTTCTTTCAATTTCTTTTTTCTTTCTTTTCTTCTTTCTTTTCTTCTTTCTTTCTTCTCTTCTCTTCTCTTCGTTCCCAGATCCCAGGTACGCCGGCCTCCTGCAACTTCTATTTTCTGTTTTCTTTCCTTCATTCTCAAGTTGCAACTTTTCTTTCTTTCTTTAGCTTTTCTAGTTGGCGACCAGCCAAATCCGGTTCTCGTTCGTGTAGATCTTAGTTTTAAAAGGCGTGAGGCGGCTTGAGGCGCTTTCATTGATTTACCCGAGGCGCGAGGCGCTAGGCAGTGAGGCGCACGCCTCACAGAACTAAACAATATAAGTATATAACTTTGGTAAATTATATTTATACTTCATGAAGGCATGAAACAAGCCATATTTATACCTCAAGCCATGAAACAAGCTTACGTAACATCAAAATCAGTCACAAAAAAAAAATTATTCAAACAGTAACAACAAATATGTTAAATGCCTATTCATAATGTAATTAAAAAGCAAAGTAGCAAACTCACAAGCAAAGTAGTGTACTCATCGACAATTAATAGCAATTTTTAATAAAACCATTATATAATCAAGTGTTAATATTTACAAACTGTCATAATAAACTCTTAATAATAATTTTAACAATTAACAAAAAATTTATTTAATAAATTGTTATATAAGAAGTTTTTTATAATAATAAACTCTCTCTGCCAAAAAAATAATATTTTCTAATATAACTGTTACATAATAAACTATAAACTAAAACCCAGCTTATAGTAATATTTTAATAATTTAAAAGAAATAAACAGTCAATACTAATTTCTAAACATTTAATAGTAATTTTTTTTAAAGTTATGATAAATTTTTAATAAACTATAATTATTAAAAGTAAAAACTTAAACATCTAATTGTAGAAACCCTCTTTATTATTATTATTATTATTATTATTATTATTATTATTATTATTATTATTATTTAACATTGATAAACAATCTGATTTAATTTAGGGTTTAGGGCAGATAGCTAAAGTGTTAATATTTAAATAATTGAAACTGTTTGGTAAATTTAAAAATTTTAAAATAAAAAGAGAAGAAAAGGTAAAGGAAACAAAAGATAAGAAAGAGTAAAGGAAACCTGCGACTCCTTAATACAAACCTGCAACTCCTTTAAAAAAAAACCTGCGACTTTACGATGCTAGGAGAGAGGAGCGGAAGAATAGGGAAAGGCAAAGAGAGAATCGCCAAAGGTCTCGCAGGGACAAGTCGATACTCATCCCAGGCGCCAGAGGCGGCCGCATCACAGAAGCGCAGAAAGCGTCAAAAAGCGACGGATGGGGCGCGCCTTTGGGTATCTACTGCGCCTGGGACTAGCAGATGCGATATACCCATCGCCTAGCTGCGCCTCGCGCCTTTGCGCGCCTCAGGCGCGCTTTTTTAAACTAAGGTGTAGATCCGTTTCACAAAAGGGGAGGAATTCAGGAAATTCATGCCATCGCCTGGGACCAGAACTGCCATCGCAAGGACTGTGGTCGCCATAGCTGGGTACTATGCTGCCATCTTCAAGGACTGCAGTTGCAATCGTCGGGGACTGTATTTTTTTTCCGGAAATGCCACTAAAAGTGGGGAAAGCACCAAGGAACACTTTCCGATTTTATTAAAAAAAGGTTGAAATACCAAATCAAGCATCGGGGACTGTATATCGCCGCTGTCCTCCCACCGTCTGTTACATCCTACTTGTGCTCGCTGCCCTAAAGTAAAATCCTTGCAGTTCCGACGGCAAGGCTCCCCTTTTATGGAGGCCCGATACTTCCAGAAGACTCTTCCGCTGCGTTGGCGTAGGTTTGCTTGGTGCTAAAATGGCTAAGATGCCAAGATGGCTGCCGGAAGGTACACTTCCGTGCTCTCTGATGTCGCAACACCCTGAATTCCTTCAATGGCTTCACATGCGATAGCGGTCTGGTATGCAAAACGAGATGTACGCGAAGCGGAAGACGGAAAGAAAAGAAAAGAAAAGAAAAGAAAAGGAAGAAAAGAGAAAGAGAAAGAAAGAGAAAGGGAAAAAGGAAAAGAAATGCCATGCGGACAGCCACGCGTGTATCTAACCGGGAAATCGGTCGATAACCTCCTAAATCGCTCAATTGAGCGCTTTTTAGTAGTACGAGGGTTCAATTGAGTGTTATTAAAGTATTAGGGCCTAATCAACATTTCCGGTAAACTACGAGGGCCAAATTCACAATTTTCCGATTTTTCATCAAATCCAACAAATTCAATCCCCAATTTAGTTACCAAATGGGCACTAAATTAGCAAATTAAGATCTTGCAAGCCATCCATATGGGCATATGGCAAAAACACTTACCAATGAATATGGGGAGGAAATATGAGACCGGTGCATGACGGAAATGTAAAATGGATTCTTTGATCGGAAAGATTTTGCTCTTTCAATGGCATTGTTTTTCTTCCTAACACCTGCAAGATTTGTAAATGAAAACTAGTATGATTCATATGAAACATATTAACAATATTAATCATATTTTCGGAAATAAATACATTCTCCCTCCGTCTCATTGGACTTTGCCAAATTTCCCTTTTTGGTTGTTTCCAAAATTTTTGACACTTTCCTATTAAAGCAACTAATTTGTAGTTCTGCACATTTCTCTCTCCTCTGCACAAATCACAACCACACAGTTTTTACTATTCTTATTTCTCACCTACTTTGCACTTGGCAAAGTCTACCGGGACAGAGGCAGTAGTATATAGGAAAACCCGATGCCAACATTAAACTTTTCGTTGCTCGGGTGACAATTTTTTTAATAGGGACAAAGGTATTAGTTACAAGACATGATGTGAAACTGCCTATCATCTTTAAATACAACAACATAACCCATGTGCTGCAAAGGCTCCCATCTACGATAGGGTAAGAGGGTCGGATGTAAGCAGCCTTACTCCTGTACTAAAGTACAAAGAGACTATTTCTGGATAACCCATGATGAAAATTGCATTGAAAATTGTATGGACTAATTGTTGCTTCATAACAAAGACGCGGAGATAGTTTAGTAAGTCATTTTGCTTTACTCCAGATTTTCAAGCCCAAAAAATAGTGAGTCTTTGGTTCGAATGGATTTGATGGAAAATGCCTATCAACTTTTAATACTAATAAAAAATCCTATTCAGTGGTCCACATATATATTACCATGTGTACATAGCTATATTTAAGTAGATAAATGATGTGATAAATTACTCCAAATTTTTAGAATGGAAAAGTTTTGGTCTGTCCTAGTTGATATTGACTTGTTTTTAAATATGTTGGATTGAGCTTTGATACTATTCATTGTAATTTAAATTTAAAGAAATTTAGTTAAAGTTATTAATGCAATTTTGTATTATCCATAAAACAATGCAATTTCGTATTAATGACGTTTTTTACTCAAACTGGACATTGAGTGGGTAAAATATATCGTGTAAAAATATTGAACGGGATTTACTCATCATTTTTCATTTTCATTTACCCCAGTGCCGCGAAGGCTCTCACCTACGGTGAGGTAAGGAAATATCGGATGTACGCAATCTTACCCATGTACTAAAGCACAGAGAGACTGTTTCCGGATGACCCATAGAAGTGAAAGATGGAGGTGCGGGGAATCGAATCCCGTGCCTCTCGCATGCGAAGCGAGTGCTCTACCATATGAGCTACACCCCCGTTCAATTGAACGGGATTTACCCAATTGTATTAATTCGAACTCGATATAATTATATTATTTTGGATAAAAACTGGCAAACAATGACAATGCCGCTGTCAAAGATTCAAAGTTGTTGACAAATATGTTATTATTCTGGTGAACCAAGTTGGGTAAAAGTAGGGGTCAGCTTTTGTTTTTAAATTGGTTTTCGACTTGGTTCGATTTGAACTATGATGAGAGAATGATTAACAGATGAAAACAATGTCAAGTTACAATTTATTTCATTTTTTTTGTTTTTCTTCATTTAGAATATATTAATTAAAGTCTAATGACATCTTTTATTCAGTCTTGTATTTATTATTCATTTTGATTCAATTAATTATAGATTTAAAGAAATGTTATCAAATTGCATGTGATTTTATTCGATTCGATCAAACCAAGCAGAAATACCCACCCAGATATAAATCCATCAAAAAAGAGAGGTAAGAATGAAAATCTCACTCTTGTTTTTAGGATTCAGAGAAGGTGAGCTCTCATGTACATGGTGGACTGACTCTTCCAGCTTCACTCTGTAATTCAATCCGTTGACGTCACCAACTTCGGATCCAAACCCTTCTTTCTTCTTTCTCTTGTTTGGGCTGCATTCCGTTTCCATTTCTTCCTGGAAGATCTCATCATCATCAGAGTCAGACTCAGAATTGCAGGCGGCTTTGAATCTGGCATCGTCATCATCATCATCATCATCATCAGTTTTGAATTGCGGGTATTCTATTTCAGTAGCACTCTTGTCGAATATGATGACATGGAAATGGGATTCTCCGTCATATCTGAATACCAGAAAGTGACCCTCTCTTATTGAGTATTTCCGAGTGAACTCTTTCCATCCCTTGGCTAGACACACTTGACCATGGGAATGAACCAGCTCGATTTCCCAAACTTCCCCTGTTGGAACCTCAAAAGATCCTACCTTTGGCATTTTCTTTCCATATTTGCTCACAAACTCTTCTGGAATTCTCTGCAAAGAACTCAAACTCAAGATTGTCCCCATACAAGATCATTTATTTAAATGCGTTGTCCACACAGGAAAAACTTATTGTGTGTAACCTAGTCTAATCTGGACAAGTAGAATTTAAATATATCAAGTTAGTTCCATTACTTAAATATAAAAGAAAAAAACAACAACTTTCGTCTAATACTTCACACCTTGTCAAGCTTGAATATGGTACGATTTGACTATCAGTTAGTTCAATACCTTTCGCCTAATCCATAGGCGATTGACGAAGCTTTGCGATTTCATTCCCTGTTCTGCTATTCCATCCCCTCTTCTTTGATTCGATTCCCTCTGCGATGGTCTCTATTGGCTAGGGTTCGTGTGCGGTGGCGGTTTCTGATTAACGGTGAGGCGGCTGGTCTGAATCTACTGCGGCTGGATTTGCAGAGTGTGATGCAGCGGTTGCAGGGGTGGGACCGTAGTATCCGGTGGCTGGAGGGCGGGTGTGAGGGTAAAGCAGTAACAGCGTTGCAATTGGGATGGGCAGTGACGGTGGCCTGGGACTGGGAAGGCTGGGCGAAGAGGTGGCTAGGGAGGGGTAGGGGGTCACAGTGACAGTCACTGGACGAGGAAGTGGCAGCAGTCACCGCAAAGAGCAGGGAGGTGGTCACTGGACGGGCTTGGTGGTGGTCACTCGGATTGGTAATTGTAACTGTGCGGCACTGCGGTGGTGCTCACTGCCCGGGTGGCCACTGTGGCATTAGTCACTGTAGACAGAGTTGATTTGACATTGGTCACTCTAACTATGGTCATTGTAGCGGGTCAGCTAAGTTTAGTAATGTGTATAGTGCTCTAGTGGTTTTCTTAGTCTTTTTTAGTCTCATTTTTTAAATTAAAAAAAAAAACTAATTTCTGTCCATTGCTTAATTTTTAATACTACCTCAGTCCCATTTTACGTGTCCTACTTTGGTTTGGCACAATTATTAATAAAGAGGTTGAAAAAAGGTTATGGTTGAGATTTGAGTCTAATAAAGTGAAATGCTGTGGAACGCATATTTCTTTTCAAAAAGGGAGACCCTCCTAATCATTTTTTTGTTGACAGTGGTTGGATACTTGGATATAAAGGTGATTACAATATGATGCACAATAAATGATTTTCTAACACACTTTATAGACTATAGTAACTCGCACACAATCATTGTTCTTCATTTAGCCAATAAGGCAGGAGAAAATGGAGGGGCGGGGGCAAGAAAAAGTGTGTCAAAGATACAATAATCTGCAAACTCATTTAGCAGGAGGAGCTCTGTAATAGGCTGGAATTGTTGCTCGGAAGAACATCTGTCTCACTCCTTCAGCCTTAAGGAGAAAATGGAGGGGCGGGACAACGAATAAGACCGGAATGACTTAAGCTTGTCCTACTTGAACTAAAACTAAGAACCATTTCACTACTCATTAGTGATTGTGGAGTAAGACCTAGCCTTTCATTTATGTGTAATAGTTAAGCAAATCCTCATGAATAGTCTATTTGTTCAGTTCTAACTAATAAAAAGCAAATGTGAACTTATTTTGGAACAATCTTGACAGCAAGGAAAGTAAGACAGGTAAAATGAGAAGCACGGAGTAACATTCTAGTCCTAATCCTAATCTATAACTCTTATTTAGGAGAAAAATATATAGTTCTACTTCACACATTTCACAAAATCACTATGTTTTTACCCCTATTTAAGAATTTCCCAATCATGATTTTTGATAAAAGAGCATTATTGCCAGATTAATATAGAATACACATATAAATCTGATGGCTTCCCAGTCTTACTTTGTTGATTCGTTGAACTGCTGCTTTAATCTAGAGAGTATATATTATTGCTATCGTCCAGAACATGAAGGAGCCAGAAATGTACTTTTAGGGGGCCGGGATTTGAAAATCAAAACTTAAAACTTCAACATATTCGTGTAGATTAGGAATTTTTCTGGAGATTGGTTGTCGAGGCTTACCAGGGTGGAGTCTTCTGAAGGAAATATAATCTTGACAAAGTGTACCCAGTTTCCTGATGAACGAGGATTCCCCTCGCCGCCTTGGCTTTGCCGTAAGAGCTTTGTCTCCATAATTGCTCAAAAGCATGTAAAAAATAAGAAATCAATATTAAACGAAAGTAAAATTTGATTTAACTCATAAAACTAGACAAGAAGTACTATCACGGACTTTCCATACCCCATTCTTCAAAACATCCAATCAATCCTTGCCCCACGCAGACAGAGCAGGGGAGGAGATAGGAGCTAAGAGCATCCACACAGCCCACACTATGATGGCATGTGATCCATCCGTCTCTTCCGCATCATTTTCTCTTCACTACCGTACCCAGGTCACTTGAAACAAGAAAAATGCCTAGATACACAAAATGTGTATATGTCGTTGGGAAAATTTTACAAATAGAACCAAATCATATCAAATTTCCAAAATTAGGAGTTAAAATTCGTATAGGACATAAGTGCACAGGATTTGACAATTATACCCTTAATTTTAATACTCTGCTTCTATACATTAAAACTTCCCGATCGAATGGCAAAAACAACGGGCTTCAACCTTCTTCGACCGCACCTCAATGGAAAAGATTCAGTTCTCCAGATCTTCAACCTTCTTCTTGAAGGAGCAACAACACGCGATTACTAGAGGCGACGAGCGACGAAGGAGTCAGTGAACACGAACAAAAGGCGAAGAGAAAGAAGAAATCAGAGGCTCAAAACTTTGAAAAAGTGGAAGAAATTGAAGAATGCAATCTGACGGTGATTTCGAAACAAAGAGCCCTAACAAGTAAGTTGTTCAATTCAATAGTGGGAGATCATGATCAATTATTCATATGAAATTGTCTTCTTCTCTTATTGTCTACTTCTCTTATGATAATAACTACTTTTCGTACAAGTTGTAATTGATATTTGACAAAATACAATTGTCCAGTTCCTATCCAAGTAGTCAATAATAGATTTGGTAAAACTGAGGAGATTTACAAGTTAGTGCATAATGAGTACTTAGATAGCTTAAAACTGGATATGCATAATTATAAATATACAAGGCTTTGAAATGTCCAGGAATTTGCATCAATATGGTATATTCACTTTTGTGGGTTTCACTTTTGCATTGCAAATAAGGCCATTTGAATGTTTCCCAACTCTTAGGACAATCTTTAATGCATATATTGTCTGTAGTGTTTATATTATATTTTCTTCATGCTACAAAAGTTGATTATGCCACGTCTTTGGTTTATTGCTTTTTACAATCAAATTTCTATTGATATAGTTTCATCAATTTGATAAAAGACTAAAAACATAGCAAGAACCATAGAGTAGATAATTAGGGGAGTACTTTTAACTGCTTGTTTATGTTTCTTGATTATTATTGGCTTATACTTGAGCAGGTAGAGGCCGGGTAAATTCTAAGATAAATTACTATGTAATGTATCTTTATGCTCTATGGTGCAGAATAACTTAGTGCAATGCTAACTGTCTTCTATGCGCTGCAGTTTGAATATCAGAAAATGCGATCAAGACAGAATGAGCTTAAGATACCAATAATCACATCAAGTCGTCTTCATTTGGAACATGGACCACCAAGACAGTAATCAAGTGTTTGTGCTGATGGAAATATTCAAGAAGGTAGGAAAGTTCTTGAAAGTGGCACTGGACTTCAACAATGCATAGTTTGAAAGTGTACACTTTTATTGCACTGATAAAGAAGATGGTGGTACGCAAGAAAAGAATGGTGAGGGTGCAGTAGTAAGTGGAAAACAAAGAGTAAACATGTTTCTTAAGAGAAAAAAATAGTTAGCCATCAAGTCAAGGATAGAGCAATCATGTGTATCACAATGGCTGCAGCGCGCACTACTGATGCAGGTGGCCTGAATTAAGAGTGTATGTAATACAAAGACAGAGTGTGACCTAAGATGCAATGTAATAGTTAGATTGTCAGGAAGAAAATATATGTCAAACTTCAATCTATTGATCATTAAGTATTGTGATTACATATCAGTTACATTTGGTTTTGAAATATGACAGTATAAAGTATCCTTTTCAAATTAAATGAGCACTCATTTTAACTTTTTATTTCATGCTGACATCACTGTAAACTCTAATATAATTATGGAATGAAGTCCATAAGTAGTCAATAACAAGTCTTTAATAAAACAAGCATAGACATTAAATGACTATAATTACGAGAAGAAATGACAAGAAAGCTACTAATGAATGCAAAAACGAAGGAAGCGGGTGGATTAAGATAGTCTATATACAAAAGTAATATGTGGTCTAAGATGCAATGCAATAGTTATATTGTTGGAAAGAAAAATGCATGTAAAACTTTCTTCTTTTGGTCATTAAGTGTTGTGATCACATATTAGTTACATTTTGTTTTGAAATATGACAATATACTATATCCTCTTTTTTGTTTCAAAAGAAATGAGTGTTCATTTTTACTTTTTATTTCATGATGAGATCAGTGTAAACTCTGATATAAACATGGAATGAAGTCAGTAAGTAGTCGATAGTAGGTCATTAATAAAACAAGTGTAGACATTAAATGAATACAACTAAAGTAATAAGTACATAAGGCAGTTACAACTACATGTAAAAGCTTATAATGTAACAATGGAGTTTGATAATCTGGTTAATTAAACTCTAGATACAAGACCCATGAAATAAATATGAGCATATTGTTGTTATATGCGGACACAAAAACTCAAAACATTTCTCGTAAATAACTGTTACACATTTCGTGCATTAAATATGAGCATATTAATTGGAAATTTTGGTTGCAGTCTTGCATATAAGGGAAGAAACGAGAAGCGTGCTAAGTAGATAAAGCCGGTATGTTAATTGCGTTTTGGAGTAGGTAGTAAATATGTACAACACAGGTAGTCAGTAATTAGACAGTAAAAGACAATAATTTCAAAGATGATGTGTGTTGGTTCTAAAACATATATTATTCAATAAACTTGAGTTTGAATGACAAAATAACATAACATCCAATGCCAAAAACCATGACAACTAATATAAAACTTCACTGCCAATAAACCATGACAATTTAAAAGTGCGGGAAAAAAACTAAAATCTTCACAACTCTTATTGGATGAAACGAAAGTGATATGACATTTCGTGTGTTAAGAACTACAGGTTGGAATAAGATCACTACAAGACTTCTTGTTGTGCCTCCCTTTTTACACCATGAACATTGTTTCCGCTGTCGAGAACAAAATTCTTCAGTTGAAGGTAAACGCTTCTTTTTAGGCTAACGAGTTGGCATTTGAGAACCAATAGGCTGCACAACAAGAAAGTGTAAGGGAAGTTTAGCTTATAAATGCACAACAAGTTTAAGCAATAATTGCAGGAAGGTATATGTCAGATTTTAAGCTGTAAATGCAGCAACTTCAAGCCCATATAAAGGGTTCAAATGCAGAACTTTTTACCTGTAAATGCAACTTGTTAAAGGGAATATTAAGCCTATAAATGGACAACAAGTTTAAGCAGCAATTGCAGCAACTTAAAGGCCATATTAAAGCTCCAAATGCAGCAACTTAAAAATATAAACGCAGCAACATATAGGTTTGCTTTGATGCTGTAAATGCAGCAACTTCAATCCCATATAAAGGGTCTAATGCAGAATTTTTTACTTGAAAATGCAACTTGTTAAAAGGCATATTAAGCCTATAAATGGACAGCAAGTTTAAGCAGCAATTGCAGCAACTTAAAGGTCATATTAAAGCTCCAAATGCTGCAACTTAAAACTCTAAACACAGCAACATATAGGTTTGCTTTGATGCTATGAATGTAGCTACGTAAAGGCCACATTTTAACAGGTTACAAGCCAGATTAATGTCATATTGTAATCTCTAAATGCAACAGGTTTAAGGGTAAATATATAAAACTACAAGTTTCGAGTAAAGCATCCCACAAGGCAGTATCCCTAGGTTTGAACCAATGACGATATATCTTCTTCTTCCATCAGTAAAACGTCATCCCAGAGGGTGGGAAATACTCATGTCGCATATCCTGGGTAGAATTGTGTTGTTTTAAAAAAAAAACCAGCCCAACTTTTTGGGGGTTGCACTGATTTCTGGTTGAGGACTTTTGTCGAGCACTTTATTTGCATCAATTGAACCCTCCATTTCAGAAAGTTCTTGGACTATAACCGGCTGTATGTAGTTCACCGTAAGACAATCAAAGAATTATATGAAGTAGAAAAAACGAAATCGACATTGGAAACTAAAAACAGAGAAGACAAATACTGTGAACTTTGATTTCAAGGTCTGAATGAGAATTCAAACTTGAAGATGAAAGAACTGATGCATAATATATAAACGAAATATGTTTATACATGAAAACATCAAATAATAACAAATTTTTTTAACAAAAATGAGTATAAAACTTACCAAAAAGTGCAGAAAATTTGCACAACGTATGAAGCTTGATGAACAATTGAATGGCGCTTCAGAATAATTATTGGACCATACGAGCACAATCGAAACCGGAGAAGTGATCACGGATGAATAAAAGGACGAAGTTCTTGAGCTCGGTTGATTACAGACACGAGGAGCAAAAGAAGAAGAAAAGGTCGTTGTGGATGAGTTCAGTCGTTGCCCAAGTCATTCGCCTTTGATACGCAGACTAAAGTGGAGGGTAAAACTGGCAACTAAAAATTAAGTTTTCTAAAACAGGACTAAATAAAACCTACGGATGGAAAAAAATCTAATTAAGTCCTAAACTTGTAAACTTGGTATGATTTAGTCTTACAAACAGCAATTTTCTCTATGTCGTTCACATGTTGAGTTGTTTGTGACTTAGGGAGTGTTTGCAACTGCTTCTGCTTAAAAAAAAGTGCTTTTTTCTAATGAAAGTTGGAAAAGTGATGAATTGTAAAAGTTGATAGTGTTTGGAAAATAAGTGATTTTAGAAAAGGTGTTGAAATTGAAGTGTTTGGTAAAAAAGTGATTATTGATGTAGTTTTTAATTAATGTACAAAAATGCCCTCTCTCATTAAACCTTTATCACTTTCCCTTTATCACTTTCGATCTGTAGAAGGAAAGAGAGAAGGACATTAATGTATAACAACACATATTAACGATATAAATGCCCTTCTAGTTTTTCAGAATTACCAAATTACCAACCTTTAGAGAAAGCTGCTTCCAGCTTTTCGAACGGTGAAGTGGTGTTTTGCAAACACCCAAAATGACTTCTGCTGCCAAAAAAGCCCAAAAATGCTTTTGAGAAGCATTTGCAAACAATGCTTTACAAATTTTATTTGAAGGATAGACATGTGTACACATTTTGTATACACATTTTGTGCACCCCTAGCAAAGCTCTTAAACAAATTTCTACTTTTGTATACTCTCCCTATTTATAGAGAGTAAATAGCGGGGTAATGAATAGGGTAAAAAAGTAGGAGAGAAGATGGAAAAGTTGGAAAGAGAAATAAAAAGTAGAAAAAGTAAGGATAATTGAGTATTTTTAAATGAAAAACATACCAAAAAGGAAAGGGTAGTAAACTTTTAAATACTTCGCAAATAGGAAAGTGTAGCAAACTTTTAAATACGAAGGGAGTATATTCCATTATTATTATTATTATTATAAAAAAAAGTATATTCCATTATTATTAATTTATTTAATTTGGAAAAAGGATGATAAAATCCACAATTTACCCACTATAGTTATTTATTGTGGAAAAATAAAAAATAAGCATATTTAAAAAATATTGTTACACCATTAATTCATATGTGACCCACATTATTAATGACAATAAGATGATGAAGTACATAATAAGATGTTGAAAAAGTGTTAAAATTGCATTAAGTGTTCAATTTCAGGCAGAATTTTGAGTGGGTCCCACTTTCTATTTGGGCCGGTGAAAGTGGTTTTAGATTCTCCTTGTTAAGGGCTACGATTCGATATATGGTATACTCAAAACGACTAATGGGTGAATGAGAAATTGATTCCCGAAGTTCACTCGTTGAACAGTCGCCAGTAGCAAGCTACTAGTGAACGGTCATTAGCAGGCTGCTAGTAAACTTCGAAGTGACTAAACATATCCTTCATTGATGTCTATTTATGGAGGAAAATCTAATTTTTGGTATAATTTTTTTACAACAAATTAAATTCAACGAATAAAAAATTAAATTAGGGAGTTGGGGGTAGTTGATGGGTTGATGGCTACCGCCTACCTGGATTGGGAGGAGAATTCCTCCGTTCGCATGCTACACAATCTGTGAATATTGATCTTTGGTCATACTCCAGCTTTCTCACGTTTTACCAGTTGAGCTACTAGTTAAACTTTTCCAACATTCCCACTCGGACTTTCCATACTCCAGTTTGATATACAGTATATACTACACTCTTTGCATTACGATGATTTATTTATTAAAATTGTCACATATCAAATTTTTTTTCTTAATAAATGTGTCACCTCATCATATTGTAATGTTAATGAGACAGAGGTAGTATCGTACTTCGTATATACACCTGCCTACCTTATAATTACTTCCTCATCAATTTAAGCAATGCTTGGTGTACAACATTTTGAGGTACCCATTTGTACACCAAACCATTTGTGTAGTTCACAAAAGACCAAACATTAAATTAATTGTCTCGCTTTAATGAATTCCCCTTTGTAAACCACACAATTAGGGTACAAATGGGATAACCCAATTTGGGGTACTGATAGTAATTTTCCATCAGTTTTATTTGCCAAGAGCTTACACGTGATCAGGTTGAGCGGCTTATATATATACTCCTAGTTTTGTACTCCATTGTTCATTGTTCGGGACTCTGGGTTAGGGCGTTAGGGTTGCTTGCTGTCATCTTGCAAATGACGCAATTATGTTACTCTGGTATTTAATTATGTTATTGGAATTGGGAAATTCTCGAAATACGAGTAAACAAATTTTGAAATTCTAAAGTAACATTACAATGTTTTTCTTCCCGAAATGAGTGTAACATGGCAATATTGCTTTCATTTTGAAGTAATTATCGACAAGATAGTTGCATTACTAGTCATTAACATGACAATATTTGTTGTCATTAATTAGAGTATTTTTCAATCAAGAAAGGCATAGCAGTCCTATTTTGAATTATCAAAACCCGTTTACTTGTGCTTAGGATAATTTCTTATTTCAATTTCAAATACAAATATTAAGTCATAAAATAAAATGAGAGTAAAATGATTCCAAAATAAGAGCAGTGAATGCCCTCTTCTTAGGGGTGGGCACGGTCCGGGATTTGGCTTATCCCGATCTCGTCCCGGTTTTATAACAACGGCCCGGTACGGTACGGGATAAGTCTTTATCCCAATGTTATCCCATTTAAAACGGGATCGGGACAACCCGACAAAAACCAGGACGGTTCGAGATGTCCCATAAAATATACATTTGTGAAATGTGATACGTAGTATAAAAGTAAGCATAACATCAAAATAAAGACGTAACTATTTTTGCAAATTTAGCTTCCCTAAGAAGTTAAGTAAAACCTTTAATAAACTATTTTTAATTTTTATCCTGTAAACTTTTTTGGTCCCCCTAATCTTGTGTTTCCTCTAGTAGAATATTAGCGCATAATATTTTTATACTTTGTAATACACTTGTAATTTTTCAATACCATATTAAATTAAATATCATATCTATAAAGACACTATATATATTTTCTAGCAGTTATTTTGGAAAATATTAAATCTCTAACAACAATATAATATGGAGTAGTAGTTTTTTTAAAAAAAATAATATGGAGTACTAGTTATTCATCATAAATAGTATTTCGCACGTAATAATATATTATGGGCCAGTATTGGAATGAGAACTAAAGAAATTTTAATCAAAAGAAACAAAAGAAATGAGACTAAGAGAGACATGAAATAAGATAAAATTATACTAGGGAGACTAAGGACTAGAAAGTTTTAATTGTGTTAGACTATTACATAGCATTAGAAATTTAAAATAACATATTAATTTCAAACGGGACACCGGGACGGGACATGATATTTTATAGCTATCCCAGTCTCGTCCTGAATAATACTGGTGCGGGACCAATTCGTGATGAAAACATTGCGTCCTAAATGGATCAGGATAGTTTCAGAACGGTATCAGGATTTTTCGGTTCGGGACACCGGGAATGGAATTTTTGCCCACCCCTACCTCTTCTTGTTCTACTCTCTTCGTATAACCCAATTATTAAGAATTATTTTACTAATAACAAAATCATTGTGTTATTTATGATAAAAATATCAAAATAAAATAAATTAAAATACAAATAAACAAAATCAGGTCAACGCAATACAAATAAATTAATTGTTATGCACAGAGACACATGAAGTGTTTAGTTCACTCTTAAAGTCACAATTACGTTAGTAAGACAAGTGAAGTAAACACGCATGCTGCTTAAAAAGCCGCTTATTTACTGAAAGATGTGTTTAAGTGCCACTTACTAAGCATACCACCCCCATGTGTTAATTAAGCGGCACTTTAAGCTTTTTTAGTTTCCGAATTTACCCTTACTGTTACCCCTTGCCCTTACCCTATTGTTACCCTCTACCCACCCTACCCCTACTACCCCGACCCCACCCGACCCAGACCCCCGACCCCACCATAGTCATTATCTTGTACCTTACTCCTTACCTCTACCCTACCCTATCCCCGACTACCCCCACACCCCGTGTACCCCTTTTCCCTACAACGATACTACCCCACCCCAATCCTGACCCCTATCGCCATCCTACCCCCACCCTTACCACCTTGACCCCACCCCGACGCACCCTACCTTACCCCAGCCCTGCCCTACCCCTAGCACTTGCCCCAGTCCCACCCTTCCGTTATCCTACACCCACCCCCTACCCCTACCCTACCTTACCCCAACCCTACCCACCTACCCCCCACCCTTGTACCTTACCCCTAACCACGACCCCACCCCCTATCACTTGCCCCTACCTTGGCCCCATCCCAATCCCGACCTCAGCCTACTACTGCCATCCTCCCCCACCCTACCGCCATCTTACCCCGACCCCCACCCTCCCACCCTGCCTGTACCTTCCCGACCTTGTACCCTATACTACATGCCCTCACCTCGACCCCACCCCGACCCCCAACGAGTAGGGTAGGCGTTAGGGGTATGGGTGGGTATGAAGGGTTGTAAGGGAGTAGTGTAGAGGGTAAGGGTATGGGTAGGGGTCAAGAGTGTAGAATTAGGGGTGGGGGTAACAAGGTATAGGGCGGGGTAGGGATTAAGGGTATGGACACACGAACGAGGTGACCCCACATATTATATTATATACTTGAGCTCATGAATGTTTGTGTGTCTATATATGTACATGGTTATTTTAGACATTTTAATGTTAAATGGTGTTTTAAACCCTTTGAAGTAAACATGATATTACAACACTGCTTATTTTATGTGTCGCTTATTAACGCGGGTCTTAATAAGCACCATTTAGTAACGGATGAAGTAAACGTATCCATAGGGTCTAAGAAAGAAGTTACATGGACAAAAATAAAAAAATATTTGGCTAAGGCCCTTAATTAAAGAGTAAAGATTTAGTCAACCGTATATATAAACATGTTTTTCCATAATTTATTCAATAGACTTCCCAATTGAATTTTAAGCTAAAACTTTGTGTGAATGTTTTATAATTCAACAAGAATATGCTCACAAAATGTTATCAAAAAATTCAATTTGGAAGGTCCTCAAACAAAAATTCAATTAGGAAGGTCCTCAAACAAAAATTCAATTAGGAAGGTCCTCAAACAAAAATTCAATTAGGAAGGCCCTCAAACAGGTTTGCCTATTTCTCTCAATCTAGACTAACCAAGTCATTTCTCTCAATTAAAAGCACTATACATATATGTATTGGTAAGAACATATGTCAATCTTCAAGAAAAGATATTATGGGACAAAAGATGTGATATAAAAGATCTCATCTCTTTATTCTTCGTAGTTAGGGGTGGCCTAAAAAGAATAAATTTCACTCTTGATCTTATGAGTATCATATCAATTTCACAATTAGTTTACGTCTTTGATTTTGAACACTTGTGATACATGAATATTTTTTTCCCATATATGATCCTTCCGTTCATATTTCTGATGATTAAAATCAATGGAGAAGTGTCGGAGAATTGAACGGAAGGATCAAAATGGTCAAACAACGATTAGTCAAATACCAAACGTGGACAAAATACAAAACGTGAATTAAATGTTGAATTGACATAAAACTCCTAGGACTAAAAGTGGAATAAAACATCAAAAAAATGAACTCTGCATATGACTCGTATGCCCGGTTTGCTGAAGAGTCAGGCCAATATTTTTTAATTACCGGACTGTGCATCATTAATCTGCCCGAAATATTATGACGTTGAAGATCAATGGGCTTCCGCCTTTCAAACCCTCTAAGATGCAAACATCACCAATTTTCAGGTTGTTGTCTAACACGAAGTCCCTCCATCCATTGATCTTGACACAAGCTGACCTACCTAGGGTGCATTTGGCGGACCATGATCTCCCACTCGAAATTAGCAATATATCAGTATGCAAATCATTATGCTTTGAAGTAAAGAGGTTCTTAACAAATTGCAAGGGAATGCTCTGAAAAAACAACAAGCGTTAGTAGATCAGCCCATTTGGTAATTCCTTATTTTTAACTTATTAACTTTATCAGTCAACTTTTTTACCAATTACCAACACGTAATTTTTTATTTTGCGTGTTAAATTGTGTAATAATCAAAATGAGTAAGGTTCGAGTTACATTTTTGGCTTTATTTTTTAGTAAATTATATTTTAAATACTACCTATAATTTTTCTATAATGTAGCAGATTCAGTCACTTCTGCCATAATTTCATCCAATCCAGCAAATTCAATCCCTTATTTAGTTACCAAATGGGCACTAAAGATCTTGCAAGACATCCGTATGGAAAAAGGCACTTACTAATGTATATGGGGAGGAAATATAAGACCGGTACATGACGGAAATGTAAAATGGATTCTTTGACCGAAAAGATTTTGCTCTTTCAATGGCATTGGTTACCTTCCTAACCGATCTCCATTTATACTTCTTGTATGCTTCAACACCTGCAAGATTTTTAAATGAAAACTAGTACGATTCATATGAAGCATATTAACAATATTAATCATGTTACTCAGTATTATAAAGGGAAAGTTCCCGAAATGGGACTAAAAAAGTTCAAAAATTCCAAAATGGGACTGTCATGTTTTTATTCCCCAAATAGGACTAATTACTGCCAAATTTGGAAAATACTGTCATGTTTGAAGTCTGGTACTGCCAAAACATGGCAGTAATTAGTCCTATTTTGGGAATAAAGACATGGAAGTCCTATTTTGGAATTTTCAAACTTTTTTAGTCCCATTTTGGGTAATTTGCTGATTTAGTCGTGTAACTTCCAGTTGAATTATACCCCTAACTTTACATAGTTTCAGATCACGTCTTGTAATTAATAACTTCCATTGGAAACTGTCGGAAAGAATACATAGTATATCGGAAAACCCGTTGCCTACATTAAACTTTTCGTGGCTCAGGTGACAAAATCTTTAATAGGGACAAAGTTATTAGTTACAAGACATGATGTGCAACTGCCTATCATCTTTAAATACAACAACATAACCCTAGTGTCGCAGACTCCCACCTACGATAGGGTAAGGGGGTCAGATGTAAGCAGTCTTACCTCTGTATTAAAGCACATAGAGACTGTTTTCTGGATAACCCACGATTAAAATTGTGTTGAAAATTGAATGGACTAACTGCTGCTTCATAACAAAAAGCACGGACAGTTTGGTGAGTCATTTTGCGTTATTACATCATATTCCCAAACCAAAAAAATAGTGAGTTTTTGGCTCCAATGGAAGTGATGGAAAATTCCTACCATCTTTTAATCCTAATCTAAAATCCTATTCAGTGGCCCAAGTATATATTACTACGTGTATATTGCTACATTTAAATAGATAAATGATGTGATAAATTACTCCAAATTTTTAGAATGGTTGAGTCTTGTTCTGTAGTTCTGTCCTTGTTCATATTGACTTGTTTTTAAATATGTTTGATTGAGCTTTGATACCGATCATTATAATTAATTTTAAAGAAATTGCAGCTAAAGTTATTAATGCAATTTCGTATTATCCATAAAAAAATGTAATTTCATATTAATGACGATTTTTATTCAAACTCGACATTTAGTGGGTAAAATATATCAAGTGTAATTTATTTTTTTAAATATTGAACGGGATTTAATCGATTTTATTAATTCTAACCCGATATAATTATATTATTTTGGATAAAATCTGGCCAACGATGACAATGCCACCATCAAAGATTCAAATTTATTGACAAATACGTAGTATGTTTTAATTCTGGTGAACCAGGTTGGGTAAAAGTAGGGGTCAGCTTTTTGTTTTTAAATTGGATGTGAGCCGTTATAATATGGATTGAAAGAAATGTTACCAAATTGCATGTGATTTGATCCGGTTTGATCAAAACGAGCCAGAACACCCACCCCAAAATATAAATCCATCAAAAAAGAGAGGTAAGAATGAAAATCTCACTCAGGTTTTTAGGATTCAGAGAAGGTGAGCTCTCATGTACATGGTGGAGTGACTCTTCCACATTCACACTGTAATTCAATCTGTTGACGTCACCAACTTCGGATCCAAATCTTTCTTTCCTCTTTCTCTTGTTTAGTCCGCATTCTGTTTCCATTTCTTCCTGGAAAATCTCATCATCATCAGAGTCAGACTCGGAATTGCAGGCGGCTTTGAATCTGGCAGCGTCACCATCATCATCATGAGTTTTGAATTGTGGATATTCTATTTCAGTAGCACTCTTGTCGAATATGATGACATGAAAATGGGATTCTCCATCATATCTGAATACCAGAAAGTAGCCCTCTCTTATTGAGTATTTCCGAGTGAACTCTTTCCATCCCTTGGCTAGACAAACTTGACCTTGGGAATGAACCAGCTCGATTTCCCAAACTTCCCCTGTTGGAACCTCAAAAGATCCCACCTTCGGCATTTTCTTTCCACATTTTCTCACATACTCTTCCGGAATTTTCTGCAAAGAACTCAAACTCAAGATTGTCCCCATACAAGAACATTTATTTAAACGCAATTTCCACACAGGAAAAACTTTTGTAACCTAGTATAATCTGGTCGAGTAGAATTTAAATATATCAAGTTAATTCCACTATTTAAATATAAAAGAAAGAAACTACTTTCGTCAAAAACTTTAGACCTTGTCTAGCTTGAATATGGTATGATTTGACTATCAGTTAGTTCGATACCTTTCGCCTAATCCATTGGTGACCGACGAAGCTTAGCGATTTCATTCCCTGTTCTGCTATTTCAATCCCTCTTCTTCGATTCGATTTCCTCTGCGATGGTCTATATTGGCTAGGGTTTGTGTGTCGGTGCTGGTTTCTGATTTACGGTGAGGCGGATGGTCTGTTTCTATGCCAGCTGGATTGAGGATTGTGATGCAGCGGTTGCAGGGTGGGACAGTAGCGTGTGGTTGCTGGAGGGTGGATGTGAGGGTAAAGCAGTGACGGCGTTGAAATGGGATGGGAAGTAGCGGTGTCCTGGGGCTTGGAAGGCTGGCCGGAGAGGTGGCTAGGAAGGGGTAGGGGGTGGCAGTAACAGTCACTGGACGAGGCAGTAGCAGCGGTTACCGGAAAGAGCGCGGCGGTGGACTGGCTTGGCGGTGGTCACTCGGATTGGTAATTGTAACTGTGTGGTGGTGCTAACTGCCTAGGTGGCCACTGTGGCATTAGTCATTGCAGACAGGCACACAAGGGTGTGAAACTCAATGGAGTGGGTTTCAGTCCTGATTACTCCAGGCTCCCCCAGCCCCCAGACCCCCCGGAGTAAAAAAAAAACAGGGTCAATTTGACATTGGTCACTCTAACTATGGTCATTGTAGCAGGTCAGCTAGGTTTAGGATGTTTTTACTTGGACTGTAATTTGCTGGTCTGGTCTGTTCTGAACTGGTCTGGTAAGGTCTGGTTTCTTTGTATTTTTATAACTATCCAAGTCTGGTCTGGTCTGGTCTAGTCTGGTCTGAATTGGTCTGGACTGGACTGGTCTGGGACAAATTACAGTCCAAGTAAAAACATCCATAGTAATGTGTATAGTACTATAGTGGTTTTCTTAGTTTTTTTAGTGTCATTTTTGGAAATTTCAAAAAAATCTAATTTATGTCCATTGCTTAATTTTTAATACTACCTCAGTCCCATTTTATGTGTCCTATTTTGGTTTGACACAATTATTGATAATGTGGTTAAAAAAATAAAAGCTATGGTTGAGATTTGAGTCTAAGAAAGTGAAGGTTTTTTGCAAAAATATTACTAAAATAAAATTTATTTACACAAATATGACTAATAATTACTACAATGTAATGTTATGATAACTTAAGTTTTAAAATTGAACATGAGTTACTATGATTCTATTAATTTTTTCTTAGAGTACTATGATTCCATTACTACTCTAGTCACTAATCACATTTTTGTAAATAATCATTATTTTAGTGATAAACATGTAATTAATTCTCAAGTGAAATACTGTAGAACACATATTAAAAAAGGGAGACCCTCCTAATCATTTTTTTGTTGTTGACAGTGGTTGGATACTTGGATATAAAGGTGATTACAATTTGATGCACAATAAATGATTTTCTAACACACTTTATAGACTATAGTAACTCACACACAATCATTTTCTTCATTTAGCCAATACAGCAGGAGAAAATGGAGGGGCGGTGGCGAGAAAAAGTGTGTCAAAGATACAACAATCTGCAAACTCATTTAGCAGGAGCTCTGTAATACGCTGGAATTGTTGCTGGGAAGAACATCTATCTCACTCCTTCCGCCTTAAGGAGAAAATGGAGGGGCGGGGACAACGAATAAGACTGGACTAACCTAAGCTTGTCCTACTTGAACTAAAACTAAGAACCATTTCACTACTAATTAGTGATTGTGGAGTAAGACCTAGCCTTTCATTTATGTGTAATAGTTCAGCAAATCCTCATGAATAGTCTATTTGTTCTGTTCTAACTAATAAAAAGGAAATGTGAACTTATTTTGGAACAATCTTGACAGGAGTAACATTCTACTCCTAATCCCAATCTACAACTCTTATTTAGGAGAAAAATATATAGTTCTACTTCACACATTTCACAAAATAACTATGTTTTTACCCCTATTTAAGAATTTCCCAATCATGATTTTTGATAAAAGAGCATTATTGCCAGATTAATATAGAAATCACATGTAAATCTGATAGTTCAGAGCATGACGGAGCCAGAAATGTACTTTTAGGGGGTCGGGATTTGAAAACCAAAACTTAAAACATAACATATTCGTGTAGATTAGGAATTTTTCTGGAGATTGGAGGTCGAGGCTTACCAGGGTGGAGTCTTCTGAAGGAAATATAATCTTGACAAACCGTACCCAGTTTCCTGATGAAGACTTCGAACGAGAATTCCCCTCCCCGCCTTGGCTTTGCCGTAAGAGCTTTGTCTCCATATTGGCTCAAAAGCACTGTAAAAAAATAAGAAATCAATATTAAACGAAAGTAAAATGTAATGAACTCATAACTAGACAAGAACGTCAAGAAGTACGAGTACTATCACGGACTTTCCATACCCCATCCTTCAAAACGTTCAATCAATCCTTGCCCCACGCCTGACCATCCAACATTTATTTAATTTGAAAAAGATTATAAGAATGAGAGGTTGTTTGAGAGCGCTGTTTTTCGGGTTATCAGACTTATCAGCCAACTTTTTTACCAAACATGTAACTTTTGCTTTCGCGCGCTGAATTTTGTAATAAGTAGAAAAAATAAGGTTTGAGTTACTTTTCTGGCTGCATTGGCTGAAGTTACTGTAGTAGACCATTTTAGCTATTTCTACATATAACTTTTTCTTTATTTTATTAATAAAATATATTTTAATTTCTTCTTCTTCTTAAATCAGCAGAATCAGCCAATGCAGCCACTTCAGCCAGAATTTCATCAATTTCAGCAGAATCAGCCAAAACAGTCGATTTTGGTGCTACCAAACGGGCTCCAATATTTTATCCACTATAATTATTTATGAGATTTTTACATAAATATTATCAAAAGTCATGGGAATTATAAGAAAGTGACTTATAGCATGGATCACGTATGGGCACCATGGGATTAAGTTAGAGCAAAAAGTCATATTTTTGTTAGTGGGGTTCAAAGTAGTTATATTTGTGTAATTTTTTCATTATTTATTGTGTAGAAATAAAAACAAGCATATTCAAAAAAAAAATTATTACACCCTTAGTCCATATGTGACCCACATTATTAGCCACAATAAGATGATAAAATACACAATAAGATGTTGAAAAAGTGCTAAAATTGCATCAAGTGTTCAATTTCAGACAGAATTTTGAGTGGGTACCACTTTAAATTTGGGTCAGGTGAAAGTTGTTTCGGATTCACCGTGGTAAGGTCTACGATTCGATATATGATACATTCAAAATGGCTAACGAGTGAATGAGAAACTGATTCTCAAATTTCACTCATTGAACGGTCATCAGGAGCAGGCTGCTAGTGAATGGTCACTAGTAGGCTGCTAGTGAACTTCAAAGTGACTAAACATATCCTTCATGAATGGACACGTATCCCGATCGTTGGGATTTTGCCTATAAATACCCTGCCTTAGGCCTCACTTTTTCGCGTTATTTTTCTTGGAACGAACGAAGTGTTGCCCATTTCTAGAGAGAGAAACCCTCCCTTACCTGTTTTTCACCATCATCAAACCTTCAAGGTCAGTTCTTCACCCGTTCTTCAATTTTCTTCTGTACTTAGCTTCATAGAACTTAGATCGAGTGTTTCTAGGAAAGCTTAATTAGTTTGATTTGAAGTGGTGCGGTTGTAGAAGTTGTTCGGCGATGTCATCGATGGATTCCCAAAACATTTCTAGATCCCTTGACTTGGCCTCCGAGAGTGAGGGACTCTCCTCGAGCTTGGATAGCTTCGATGTTGAGCTGAGCCCGAAAGTACCGAGGCGCCAAGGTAAAGATTCTGGTGCAAGGAATGCAGATACTTCAGATTCCGATGAGGAGGTAAGCTCTACCTTTGATGACGAGGAGCGAGCTTTAATCGTCTATGAGTCAGAGTTCTTGCAGGAGGCCGACACCGCTGATTAGCCTAGTACTTCCACCCCGGGACAGCGGAAGAGTCCTTCTTCTATCTCCGTTGCACCGCCGGTGAAGAAAAAACAAAGGTATCGTTGCCCCGTTCCTGCCGGGTACAGAAAGGGTATTCTTTCTTAGACTGCTCTTTGCCGAAGATCATCCGAAATGAGAACACGCGAGGTGATGTTACTCTCGCTCAGATGTTCGTCGGACAACATGGTGTGGTGCGAGAGCCACTACCATCCGATTGCGTGTTGAATCCTCCAAAGGGTTACTTCGGCAGTTCCCGAAATGTTGTCCCTCAAACATGTTTGACAAGACGACGATTCCCGACAATCCGCACTATGCATGTATTGGTAAGAACATACATCGATCTTCAAGAAAAGATATTATGGGACAAAACATGTGATATAAAAGGTCTCATCTCCTTTTAGATAGGAGGACAAGTTTCCTCATATATACATAAAAGATCTCATCTCTTTATTCTTTTGTAGTTAGGGGTGCCTGAATAGAATAAATCTCACTCTTGATCCTATGAGTATCATATCACATAATTAATCTACACATAATTAATCTACGTCTTTGAACACTTATGATGCATGAATATTGTTTTTTCCTCATATATGATCCTTCCGTTGATATTTCTGATGATTAAAGACACTGGAGAAGTGTCGAACGTAATGATTAAAATTGTCAAAAAACATTAGCCAAATATCAAACGTGGACAAAGTAAAAGACGCGAACTAAATGGGAATTGACATAAAGCTCCTACGACTAAAAAGTGGAATAAAACACCAAAAAATGTACTTCACGTATGATTTTTTTTTCTGCCGGCAGCTAGAAAACAGAAGGTTATATGCCCGGTTTGCTGAAGAGTCCAGTGACTCCAGTCCGCCAATATTTTCTAAATTAGCAGACTGTGCATCATCATCAATCTGCCCGAAATATTATGACGTTGAAGATCAATGGGCTTCCACCTTTCAAAACCTCTAGGATGCAAACATCACCCATTTTCAGCTTGTTGTCTAACACGAAGTCCTTCCATCCACTCATCTTGACATTAGGTGATGTACCTACGGTGCATTTGGCAGACCATGATCTCCCACTCGAAATTAGCAATAAATCATTATACCTTGAAGTGAAGAGGTCCTTAACAAATGACAAGGGAATGCTCTGAAAAACAACAAAGCGTTAGTGTAAGAGTCCGTTTGGTAATTCCTTATTTTTAACTTATTGGCTTTATTGATCAACTTTTGAATTGCGTAACAATCAGAATAAGTAAATTTCGAGTTACTTTTTTCACTGATTTGAGTGAAGTTACTAGAAGATCATTTTTGCTATTGTCATATAATTTTATCTATTTTTCATCATTTGCAATGGAGCAAAAGGCTCACTATTTTTTGGCCTGAGAATATGATGGAATAAAGCAAAATGGTTCAGTAAACTGTTTGCTCTTCTGTGTTATGAAGCGGCAGTCAGCCCATGCAATTTTCGAAGCGATATTCACTATGAGTCATCTGGAATCAGTCTCTCTTTGCATTTGTTATGAAGCAAATGCAATGACTTCAGCCATAATTTAACTAAATTCAGCGCTCAATTTAGTTACCAAATGGGCTCTAAATTAGCAAGGTCTTGCAAGACATCTGTATGGAAGAATGTAAGCAGTAAGCACTCACCAATGTATATGGATAGGAAACATAAGACCGGTGCATAACAGAAATGTAAAATGGATTCTTTGACCGGAAAGACTTTGCTCTTTCAATGGCATTGCTTTCCTTCCTATCCGATCTCCATTTATCTGTGTTAGATTGCTCCCGGTATGCTCTAACACCTGCAAGATTTGTAATGGCTATATAATGGTGACCATAAATGAACTGATAAGTTTTAAAAGTTTTGATATAGAGAAAGGGAGAGATTTGTGATTTAGTTGGAAAAAAATACTGAAAACCCCGCTGCCAACATTAAACTAATCTCTAGTATGCATAAATTTATTCGTTTCTGCCTATCGTTTTTAAATACTAATCTGAAATCCTTATTCAGTGGCCCACATATATAATACATGCATATAGTTATAATTAAATAGATAAATGATGTAATACATTACTCCAAATTTTTGGGATGGTTGAGTCTTGTTCTGTCCTTGTTCATGTTGGGTTAAGCTTTGATACCATTCATTATAAGTTAAATTTAAAGAAATTGCAGTTAAAGTTATTAATGCAATTTTGTATTATCCATAAAAAGGTGTTTCATATCAATGACATTTATAAAAAAATATTGAACAAGATTTATTCGATTTTTTTTATTCGAACCCCATATAAATATGGATTGAACGAAATATTACCAAATTGCACGTGAGTCGATTCAATCAAACCTAACAGAAACAAATACCCACCCAAAGATATAAATCCATCAAAAAAGAGAGGTAAGAATGAAAATCTCACTCTTGTTTTTTGGTTTCAGATAAGGTGAGCTCTCATGAACATGGTGGAGTGACTCTTCAAGCTTCACTCTGTAATTCAATCCTTTGACGTCAACAACTTTGGATCCAAACCCTTCTTTCCTCTTTCTCTTGTTTTGGACGCATTCTGTTTCCATTTCTTCCTGGAAGAACTCATCATCATCATCATCATCATCATCATCATACTCGGAATTGCAGGCGGCATTGTATCTGGCATTTTCTTCATCACCACCACCATGAGATTCGAATTGTGGGTATTCTATTTCAGTAGCACTCCTGTCAAATATGATGACATGAAAATGGTATTTTCCATCATATTTGAATACCAGAAAGTGGCCCTCTCTTATTGAGAATTTCTGAGTGAACTCTTTCCATCCCTTGGTTAGACAAACATGACCTTGGGAATGAACCAGCTCCATATCCCAAACTTCCCCGGTTGGAACCTCAAAAGATCCCACCTTTGGCATTTTCTTTCCATATTTTCTCACAAACTCTTCCGGAATCCTCTACAAAAAAATCAAACTCAATTGTAACCTACTAATCTGGTGGGGTAGAATTTAAATATATCAATTTAGTTCCACTATTCAAGTACAAAAAAAAAGAATCTATTTTCATCTAATACTTGACCGTGCCTAGTTTGAATATGGTATGATTCGACTACAAGTTTAGTTCAATACAGTACTTTTTTTCTACGGAGTATTAATCAATTGACACTCAGTAATACTGTCTCTATCTCATTTAACTTTGTGAAGTTTTCTCACTTTCCAATTTCCAATTATAATAATAACTAATTCACAAATTCCAAAATAGAAGTATCATGTTTTTTATTCCTTGAATAAGAGTAATCTACCAAGTTTGGAAAAAATGTCATGTTTAAAGCGTTGTAATGCCAAACTTGGCACAAATTTACTCCTATTCGGGGAATAAAAAACATGATACTTCTGTTTTGGAATTTCAAAACGTTTTTACTCCCATTTAGGGAATTTTCTCAAAATACTACTTTCCCATTCAATTAACTAATTTGTCATTTTGCTCATTTTTCGCACTTTTGCACAAACATCAAAAGATTTTACTTTTCTTATTTCTAATTTAAAATCTCATTAACCGACCCAAAATCTTTTGGGATTAAGGCTTGGGTGTTGTTGTATTTCTAACCTAATTCAAGTTGGCAATGTACAATGAGACAGATATTATACTAGGAGGCCGTTTGGTAACACTGTTTTTTGGCTTATCAGCCAACTTTTTCACCAAACACGTAATTTTTGTTTGCGCGCGCAGAATTGCGCAGAATTGTGTTCTAAGCAGAAAAAGTAAGGTTGTAGTTACTGCATTGGCTGAAGTTACTGAGTTACTGTAGATGACTATTTTAGCTATTTTTACATATAATTTTTTCTTTATTTTATTAATAAAATGACTATTTTAGCTATTTTTACATATAATTTTTTCTTTATTTTATTAATAAAATATATGTTAAAAATAATTTTTTCTTAAGTCGGGAGAATAAGCCAACCACTTCAGCCAGAACTTCATTAATTTCAGCAGAAATTACCAAAAGAGCCGATTTTGGTGCTACCAAACGGGCTTTAGATTTCGTAACAAGTAATGAGTGATATATTCTCCATTTTTAATTTACTCTCTACATAGAGAGCATATATTTGAAGAGTACGTCAAATTTAGGTGACTTTTTGTGTCCTATCACCCAATATATTTGAAGAGTAAGTCATGGAACACATTGAGTGAAATTAGGGAGCTTATGCCATATTTTCCTTAGCTTGATCTCTCATATCCTTCTAAGTAAAATATACTTTTAGGGGTCAGGATTTGAAAATCAGAGCATGAAATTTCAACATATACGAAGTATAATCTATCTATTATAAATGCTTATAGATTAGGATTTTTTCTGGAGATTGGTGGTCGAGGCACCTCCAACCCCTCCTGTCTCCACAAATTAAGCATGCAAAAGTTAAGATGAGGAGGGAGGAGGGTTACCAGGGTGGAGTCTTCTGCAGGAGAAATGATCTTGAAAAACTGTACCCACTTTTCTGATGAAGACTTTGAGCCAGAATTCCCTTCGCCGCCTTGGCCTCGCCGTAAGAGCTTTGTCACCATAATTTCTGAATAAGTATGTCAAAAATACCAATCAATACTCATATATTGAACTCATAACTAGACAAGAAGAAGTACATGTAACTTTCCAGACTCCCTTTGACGGTTCAATATTGTATAAAGCTACCTTATACATATACTCCTGCTCTCCAGTTTTGTACTATAGTACTCCGTAGTCCATTGTGCGGGTTAGGGTTGCTTGCCGTCATCTCGCAAATTATGCAAATATTACGTTATTCCAATTGGAAAAGTTTCCGAAATATAAGTGTACAAATTTTGGAATTTTGGATTAGAATTAGAATTATAATTAATATGTTTTTCTCTTCGAGATAACACTAATACGGCAATAACTATGATTTTGGATGCTTTGATGCTTAAATGAAGCATTCGAATTCTGTAAAGCCAATTTGAGAATTTCAATGCTCAATACATATAATCTTGATGGTCATAATAGAAAATTTTTTGATGCTTACATGAGGTTTTTCAAATTTTGTATACTCAATTGTGGAGTTCAAATAATGTTCAACATAGAGAGTTTTATTCTCGATAAAAATGTCTTCATGCTCAACTGACATAACTTTTAATTTTCATATTGTCGGGGCTTATTCCTTCAACCTGTAAGTCCAACACGTAAGCTTATGGATTTCGAGTGGATGATGTATGTGAATATGGGATGCTAGCAAGTAAGATGGGCTAAGGAGTGTATGCAATAGTGGACCGAGTATTATTAAGATCTAATAAAGCCTCGTTACGCTGCACTATGTTAAGGCCAACGGCCGTTCGTCTCGCACTCAAGTACAACAATTGTTAGTGCTAAGCTATGAACTATCTGAATGCTAGAATGCTAAGGCGGGTAAGTTGCCAACCCTTTATAATGAATTAAATGCTACTCCCTCCGTCCCGGCGTCCCGCTATGATTGTCTCATTTTACCTTTTCGGTCCGTCCCACTAAGATTGTCACATACCTTATTTGGTAAAGTTTGTGTGGTTTCAAAATCATTTCTACTTTATTCTTACTTTATCAATTCAATATCAACCACATAAATCCCCTTTTATTAATAACTGTGCCACCTTCTCTTGTCCCAAACTTAGGGGGACGGAGGTAGTAATATTTATACTACTAAGGGGCAAGTGGGTATGTTAACGTGGAGAACCATGGATGGCTGGAGTCCCAACAACCAAACCTCCAGCATTAAATGTGCTTCCCGCCATGATCTCTCTTTCCCGCCCATTCCTGGAGACGAGCGTCTTCCCGAGTTCTGGGGTTCTCCTTGATTGTATCGCAAAAGGGTTGTAGGCCGTATGTCTTCTGGTTGTTAGAGTAGGAGTACGTTGGCTACCTTTGGGCTAGATCTTCTTTGGGCTGTGGACAAGGTGTGGAGACGCCCGTCTTTACCTATTACCCTTGTTGGGCTTGAACGTTCATCCATAGGAGGGTTAACTGGGCTGACCCTCTAGTTGGGCCATTAACCCAACACATATCATGTCTTTACCTATTACCCTTGTTGGGCTTGAACGTTCATCCATAGGAGGGTTAACAGGCATATTTCAAAATTATAATATAAAATTATATTCATGTATTAAAATTTATATAAATTGATTGTAGATATAATTTAATAAATTTCATAACAGAAAAAATAAGAAAAAGAAAGTGAATTATAAGATATGAAGTAGATATCACGATGCTCAATATTAGAGTAATAATATTTGTTGAGGTTTATTCATCTGGGTCCAAGGGCCCAACACTTTTCCTCTGGCTTTGGTTGAATTTAATGGATTGGGTATACTTTGGTGGGCTAGATAGGTGATTTATGGGCACAAAGAATAGTAACAAAGAGTAGGAGGTAAAGTGAGTCAAGTTCTATGATGACTAGAATGATTTCAATGCACCGTTACCGAGTCCCGAACATCTATTCTAAGCTGTGAAAATATAGAAGAAGTTAAGAGAGAAGTTAATGCTATTGAATACACGTTGACAACCCCTTACAATGACATAAATGATGGTATTTATACTACTAAGGTGGTAGATGGTGGTGGTGACTTGGAGAGCCCTCAGTGGCTAGCCCCCAACCATAAAATCTAGGGGCGGGCAAGAATCCCGGTCCCGTTGTCCCATTCCGGTATATCCCGAAACCGTACCGGTGTTGTCCCGTTCCGTTTGGGTCTCATTGATTTTGTCCCGCACCGGTCCCGTACCGGTTTAAAACGGGACGGGACCGGGACATTGGAAGGTTATCCCGAACGTCCCGTTGTCCCGTTTGTAATAACTATATAGATTTTGTAGCATGTGACCAGTTTGTAATGTCAACTCAAAAAATAAATGATAACATGTTTTTAGTTTTTCAAGCCCAATTTTTAAATTAAAAATAATACCTAACATAAATATTTACTAACATAGGTTTTTGCTCACTTTATATATCAACATATGACTATCTTACAACTAGAACACATGATTTTGAATAAACTAATTCATTTTTGCTTTGTTTTAAATTTAAATTTCAAAATTTGCTAAACCTAACTAAAATCTAATACATAGTAGCTTTTAGCTTGTGATGAACCTACATCAATTAACTTTTAAAATGTTAATATTTTGGTGCATGCTATTTTAGAAATGCTAATATATATTAGTTACAAATGATTATTTTTTGTTAGTTTGGGACGTCCCGAACCATCCCGAACTGTTCCGAATCAACCCGGTCCTGATTTAAATGGGACAAGACTGGGACAAAGGCTTGTCCCGTACCGTCCCGTTCCATTATTATTAATTGGGATGGGACCTTGATAACCTTAATCCCGAACCGTCCCGACCCATGCCCACCCCTAATAAAATCTTCCATATCTAGTGCATTAAATGCGCTTCACTCAAATTCTTTGTTTTCCCGCAAATTATTCTAGGGTAGTAGCTAGGCTGAGAGTCCATTCACTGTGGTCTAAGCGATTTGCTCAAGGATCTCGTGTCACACAACCCATGATGTGCGAGCGATGCCACTCGGTCTTGGGGCCTTTACGGCTTCCTGAATTCTTTTGTTATAAGGATATTGGGCCTACCAAGTGCTGGCCCAATTACCCCCAATACATGTCCCACACTTCTGATGTTTCGAGAGTGCGCGGGAGTGAGGGCATAGATGAAACAGCCTTGGGCTACGTGGAATTGACGCCTCTTAATTAGTCACAGATGTCTCAACGGTTCCCAAGGTTCTGAAGTGATGACTACATGTGTCAGTTCAACTCCCAAGTTTTTCTTAATGATTATCTGACTCTTTGCCTTCACGTGACATGTGTCCTGAGGTACACTCCTCGCCACATGTCGCTCTCTAATTGAACCTCCCTTCGGCGGCTTCCCCTATAAATACCCCCTTAGGGCTTTGGCTCAGGGTTTTCGAAATCACTCTTCTTCTCTCTAGATTGCTCTCACTTCTCTCTACGTCAGGATTTCGCCGCCAGCTCATTCTCTGGTAGAAAACACTGATGGATTATATGGACTCCGACCCCCCGGTATGCCGACTACTAGGCCTGGACAGCGGTCCACACACGTTTAGCGGATATCATTAATATTATTGTACATTATTATTATTATTATTCAGATGTTCTAGATTAGCTTTTTATTCTATCAGTCCATTTATGTAACCGGGTCTGTCAGGCCCATATTAGAGGCCCAGACCCGGATTTTCCCTATATATACTCCTTATAGGAGGCTTGTAACTCATATAACCAATATTCATTCTATACTTTCTCTTTATTTCTTCTTGATTATTGTTCAAATTCTCCTGTTTATACAATATGGGTATCAATTATCCAACAATGGTGCTCTCGTTGAGAGGTTGAACACAATCAAGTGAGAAAACCTCCCCAAATTACCCAAAAATTCACCCAAATCACAGAAAATCGGTCAAAAAGCAATCTGGAAATACAACAAAAAATTATGTGTTCTCGCATGGGAGATCCGGGATTTCCCATATCTGACCGGAGCAACCATCAACGTGCCGCAGTGTCTCAAGGTGGGTCGCCCCGCTTTTGGGCTAGCACCGCCGCCACCGGCCGGCCGCCACGAGCCACCTGCTGTACTTTCAGGCATGGATCTGCAACTTCTAGATTTGGAAATGCTAATCTCGGTGGCTCAGCTCGACCGGACCTCGACGCAAGAAGACGACGTCCGCGGCTTACTTTGTCCTCCACCTTTGTCGCGGTATCGTCACTCCCCACTCATCTCTGTCGTCTCGGCTCGCAGCTGTGTGCCAGAGGGCGGTCTTGGCTCGTTCCGGTTGGATAAAGGCCCCTTCAAGCTGCACAGGGTTGTGTCACGCAGCTATCATCCTGCTAGAAACGACCCAAAAAATGGCAGTTCCGACGAGCCCCCTTCTACTCGGTGACAGCAAGCCATGAAGGACCCCTTCTGTTCTCCGATCAACAACGCCAGATCTAGATTGTTCTCCGAGAGCTTACGTCTGTTTAGAGCTCCGGCTGCCTCTCCGACGAAATCCGCCTCGCCTGCGCCGAAGAAAGCTTCGACTCCAGTTGCATCTCCGACCGCCACTCCGCCGTCTTCGTCTGCGACGCCTCCTACCGCAACTACTCCTGCTCAGACCCCTCCAGTCACCGCGTCTCCACCGTCCCCTGGCATCACTTCTTCTCCCACCACGGTCACGAGCCAGCAACTTTCATGTGTGAAGAACAGCAGTGCGTGACAGCGGAAATGGCCAGAGGATTGACCTTCACACTTCACTCCTTCGATAGCATCATGGCCGAGGCACCCCCTCTGTTCGTCAAAGTCTTCTCTTCATAGACTGCAGCAAGGCGGAACTGGGCTTGGAAATATGCAGCCACGCTGATGGGAATCCGGTACAGCCCCTCTGCCATACAGCCCCTCAGGCCCTCACCACCACAAAACGAGGAAGGCCAAATTGGCTGGTGCGTGGTTGTCAATGACCGACCTGTCATTTGACTCGGTCAAATGCCCTAATCCATGGCGTAGCGGGCCTGGTAGCTAGGAAAGTGGAAATGGACCAAGCTTAGTCAACAGGCTCTTTTCCAGTTGAAATGGGCCTAGGAATTAACAAGATCCTATACAAATCTCAACATCAGCCCACACGGTCTCATATTTCAACCCATCAAAAGATAAGTACTCTTTTAATTTTTATACTACGTATTATTTATATTTATTTAAATCAATTTTTGTCGGGTAAATATCACACTATCACGCACTTATGATCAAATGCCTAGTAGAGTGTGGATTGAGACCCATCACTAGGATTTAAAGCCCTGACCTCTCAGGCACAAAGTCCTGACTCCTCAGGCACAAAGCCCTGTCTCCTCAGGCACAAAGCCCCGACCAAGTCGGGCATGAAGACAAAACCCCGACCAAGTCGGGTACGAAGACCGGTCTTAGTCATTCCTCGAGTGGCGACCGTTGCTTACGAATGGCTCGCACATCCATTCTACTAAGTATTTTATCATTACATTAACAATTCACATCTCCACTTATATTTTCAAGTAACTAACTCCCGATCGGGAACATAAATCCCGAGAAAAAAATTTATATGTATGATAAATGTGTAGGTACGAAGATGACTTTACTCATTTTCACCTCGTCTCCACTCGCCTCAAAGAGTGGGGACTGGGGGACTGAGAGGTCAGAGTTTCTAGATGAGCAGAAAATATCACGCAAGAGCAGGAATGAGAGCTGAGTCAGTTGAAGAGGAGCTGAGCTAGATTGATTATGCCGGAGGGGATTTACCTTCCTTGTTTCATGTTGGGGGCGCTAGGTGTACTCTTTTTCCCTTTATTAGGATTTTTTCCCACTGGGTTTTTCCTAGTAAAGGTTTTTAACGAGGCACCTCCCCATAATGGACAAGGGTGGTGGTCCCTCGGCCGAAGAGGAAGAACGTCGCGGATACAGTTTGGACTACTCCCTTTCGCCTCGAGTACTCTCGACTCAGGGAGTGAGGGACTCCTGATGGATTATATGGACTCCGACCCCCCGGTATGCCGACTACTAGGCCTGGACAGCGGTCCACACACGTTTAGCGGATATCATTAATATTATTGTACATTATTATTATTATTATTCAGATGTTCTAGATTAGCTTTTTATTCTATCAGTCCATTTATGTAACCGGGTCTGTCAGGCCCATATTAGAGGCCCAGACCCGGATTTTCCCTATATATACTCCTTATAGGAGGCTTGTAACTCATATAACCAATATTCATTCTATACTCTCTCTTTATTTCTTCTTGATTATTGTTCAAATTCTCCTGTTTATACAATATGGGTATCAATTATCCAACAAACACGTATTCCTATTTCTCTACCCTACTTCTTCCCCGATGTCTCTTTCTCCGAATTGAAACACGAAACAAAGCATTGATCCTCAGAAAATGCTGAACACTCGTCTGAGTTCAACATTGATGATATGGTCTACTAGGACGCTAGTAATGCAGTCGCACGAGACGAAGCAGCACAAGACCACCTTGATGGTGGGAATAATTCTGAGGACGAAGCTTTTTTCGTCGATGACACGGACATTTCCAAGGATGGTCCTCCGGCCTGTTGATGTGAAGCACCATGAGGTTCTCCAAGACAACACTCAGGGTATGAGAATTTCATCTCAGACCACTATCTGGGCTTGATCCCAATCTTTCTGCCACCACCTGATATGTACAACCTCCGTGGGGCGAACCACCTGATGCGGCACCGTATGGGCATGACCATGGTCTATGTAGATTCATTGGTCACCGAACTGCGGTTCCTGATCCATCTGTTCTTTGTTCAAATCTTCCACCGCTATGAGGTGTCCCTGCACAATTTATGTCAAGCTTTTACTGGCTCATAGTCGATTTCATAGTGCGGTGTAAGGAGGAAAAGTTGGAGGCGAGCCTAGACCTCTTCCACTATTTTTTCAAAGTTGCACCTAGACCGTCAATGGGTACATGACAGTCAACAGCCACAAGGGTCAGAAGCCCTTCAATAAGAATAAGTCTTCCATCAATGAGTGGAAGCGTGGTTTTTTCTTCCTCCGAGTCGTCGATGGTTTGTTGCTCACCAGATCGAATGGCTTCCCTCCGAAGGTGAAGGAGCCACATGTCACCGATTAGTTGGGGCAGTAATCACGTCAATGGATCGTGGCATGGTGAGGTCTATCTCATTATGTCCTATCTTATGGCTCAACGGCTGGTTGAGGGCGAGATAGGTATCGCTTGTATCTCTATATTGGTTTTTTAAGGAATCAAGCACCAAGGCCCCAAGCGGTCCAATCTCGTGATAAGGTTAACACCTTCAAGATTCAAACTGCTCGGTTGTGACAGTTGGCTCTTCTCTTTTCAGGTCCACCCACACAAACTAAAGCCCAAATGAATGTCGAGAGGATGAGGATGAACAAAGAGGAGCGCCCGGACAAAAAAGAGGTGAAGAGGGCGAAGAAAGTAGCTCACTGAGCATCGAAGTCCTCAAGCGCTACCTCTTATGGATGTCGAGAGGTGGAGCGGCCTCCTCCTTCCCCCCCCATTTATGAAGTTGGTGCCGAAGGTCCCCTCTAGGGCGAGACTGTCCCTCTAGAAGTTGTGTCTATCCAGACAGTGATCGGTGTGCAGTCTGAAGTTCAGGAGGAACGACCCTCCAAGCAACCTCGTGCCGAGGAGTCTAGCCCTTTCAAACCAAACCCTGAGGGCTAGCAATTCAGCGGCTCAGCCTTCCAAGCGTCGGAAGAGTTTGTCAGACATGCCGACGTGGAGATACAATCTTTTCCTTCCGTTAAGGATGAGGAGGGAAAACTGCTCTCCTGCTTTCGGTACATTGTGATTCTACCCGTTGCGTTCTCCTTTGTTTTCGTACGTGGTTTCTTTGCGTCCCTAATCATTCTCCCCTTCCACAGGATGGTCTCTACATTTTGTAATCCCGGTCCACAAGGAACCAGGACACCCTCGAGGCCAAGATGAAAGCTAATGAGGCCCTAACAGCTGCGAATCAAGCGGCATGAACGGCATGTGAGGAGGCTAAGGCGGCCTCCCTTCACCTCTAGGAGACTGACTCATGAAGCATTAGGCCTCGACATCTAGAAGGTAGTTGTAGCTAAATATGCTAAGGTCACCTTCTCCCTTAGTCTAGGTGCCACTCCCAAAGCCGCCCAGGTGGTGAGTGCTGACCTCTTCCAGGCCATTTTTACCTATACGGTGATAGTTGATTTTGAGGTGGTTACTCGGGAGTTTGCCTTAGGTGCTACGGACGAGGTCTTCGGGGGTGCGCTTTCGCAGGCGCGGGAGAAGAAGTAGCTTGCTCGTGGTGTGGAGCTTCTCATGGTGAATCCCTCGAGGGTTCTCTTTGTGAGAATCTCACGACAGATTCCTTTGACAAAGGTTAATGGGACGCCATCGTCACATTGATGCCAATCATGGTAAAGACCGGCCCTGATTTGTTCATTCTTGCTAACCATACCAGCAACAAGGTCATGCTTGAGGCCGCAGGTAAACGGGAACGGGGTCAAGAGCGAGCGGATGTCGTTGCCAGGGGTGAAGAACCAGCTCCTCCCTCTAACGATGATGATGATGATGATGATGTTGAAAATTAAACTTGTTTTTTAATCTTTTGGGCCTAATTAATACGTAGTATGCGTTTAAGCTGTAGGAAAGAGCTCAATTCAAATAGTAGAAAAGTGTAAAAGATAAATTCTAAAATTGTCGTATTATAATTGTATGCATTAATTATGGAATAATCTAGATAGTTTCCTACTGGTATAACTAAAGAACTTCTACCTGCATCAATTTGTATTAAGTAAAAAGCAATCAAATTTTAGTTGTTCTTATAAAGAGAATTCTTCCCCTTTGTTCAATAACCTCTTTCTTATTATTTCTAACTTAGCCTCCCTTCTATTATTACCAACAATTTCAAGTTTCTGATCAAAAGTTCTCAATCATGCATATTTAGAGACCCGATATATGAATGGCTTTCATCAATGAGATACTCGATTGATAATAGTTAACCTATTTCTAGGTGTTGAAGTGTTAATTAAAAATCCAAATTTAAACTACACAACGTCCTGCCAAATGACTAGCAATGTTAAGGAACAGGTCACTACAAAAACCTAGAAAACACATAAAACAGTCGTTATCATTCATAAGCAACAAAAAACTTGAACAAAAGAGTAGCAGAAGAAGAGAAATTAAAAAGTGCAGCAACCATGCAGAAGGGACACCATATCGGGGTAGGGCTAGGAGGTCGTCCTGAAACGAAATATGGTGACATCGATGATTAATGGGCTTCTGCTGTGGTGGCCTCTCACCACCTCTAAGATGCAAACGTCACCCACTTCCAAGTGGTTGTCCACTGCGAATCGCTTCCACCCATTGATGTTGACTTTTTGTAATTTACAGAAGACGCATTTCGCCGGCCATGATTTCCCACCCCAAACTAGCACCACGTCATTCCTCTTCCTACTGAACTGTTTCTCAGCAAACCGCAACGGAATGGTCTGCAAAATCACAATTGTTGTGCAATGTGTATGCATTAATTAATGGGCAAATTCCCCAAGTAAAACATTTGAGAATACCGAATATGAATTATTATGGTTTTTATAAGAAATAATTACATAAATATGATCAAAATAAAGATGGTTTACAAAAATATGACTAGGTACTAGATCGAGTAGTAATGAAATCATAGTAATTCATGTTCAAGTTTTGAACTTGAGTTACCACAACAATATGTAAATAAGTTTTATTTTAGTAATATTCTTTGTAAAAACCCCTTTTTATAAACCTAAATAAGAGTAAACTTCTGTTTTTGAATTATTAGATTTTACACGTGGAGCATTTTTAAAGCTTAATAATAATAATTGCTCCTTATATGAAATATAATCATGAAATATTTATACCTTACCTACGGTGGGGTAAGGGGGGTCGGATGTACGCAGTCTTACCCATGTACTAAAGCACAGAGAGACTGTTTCTGGATGACCCATAGTGATGTTAGGAATTAAACTCACGCACACGAAGAACAATTAAAAGAACACACGAAAATTTGGTAACCCAGTTCGTCACGAATGACTATGTCTGGGGCGCTACCAAGCCAGGAATATTATTGCTATTTTCGGATCCACACACAATGATTACAAGGGAGAGAGCTTGTATTTATAGAGAAGTAAATCCTAACCCCAAGGCAACTAGGATGTGTTTCCTAAAATAAATTAAGAAACGTGTTTCCAAAAATAAATTAAGAAACTGTCTCTAACACTTTACAATTTCCCACCTAGAGACTGTCTTCTTCAAACCTCCCTTCTAAGCATGGTAGCGCCGGCCTTCACCTTCAAGTACCCAGGCCAATTGAAGCTATGCAAAGCTTCAATTTCTCCAAGGTTACCACCTTAGTAAACATGTCTGCTGGATTCTCACTCCCACGGATCTTCACAAGCTGCAATGCCTCTATCTCCAGAAGATGACGGATGTAGTGATACTTCAACCGAATGTGTTTGGTTGTCTTGTGAAAAGCTGAGTTGTTGGACAAGAAGATAGCACTTTGACTGTCACTGTAAAGAATGTTATTCTTGTACTCCTTCCCAAGTTCCCCAAGTAAATTCTGAAGTCACACTATCTCTTTACTTGCCTCCGTAATGGCCACATATTCAGCTTCAGTGGTAGATAATGCAACAATCTTCTGCAGCTGCGAAAGTCAGAAAATTGTCGTTCCACCAAATGTAAAAACATACCCGGTGGTGCTCCTCGATCCATCTGAGTCATTCGATGCCAGGTCTGCATCAACATGTCCCAACAGCTCTACATTCTTCCCATCAAAACACAAAGCATTAGAAGCAGTACCTTTCAAATACCTCATGATCCACTTCACAGCTTCCCAGTGTTCTTTCCCGGGGTCTCCCATGAATCTGCTCACTACTCCCACCGCATGTGCAATGTCTGGCCTTGTGCACACATCCTCCATGTTGAACCCTTCGGGGCCAGGACCACATTGGCCAGCCACTCAACATGAATAACTGGCTGGATGTGTCTAATCCTTAGTAAGGTAGTTACCTACTGCTTAGTGAATTCTCGCCATTCGGCAGCCTGGTATCGTTTCTTCTGTTGTACCGGCTTTGCATCTGGCCGAACGGCTAACTTATGGCATATCAGCTCAGGGTCAATCCCGGGCATGTCTTCGGGTCCCCGAGCGAATAAGATCTGAAACCTTTTCAGGGCTGTGATCACCCCTTGCCGAATTTCCTTCTCCAGACTAGTCCCGATTACAACCTTCCGATCGGGGGGTGAGCCAAGGTCAACATATTCCAACATGGTGGCCGGTGCGGGACGTGCATCGAACTCTGTTTTCCTGGTCTGTACTTCGATGGTGTTTACCCGCATCCCCCGGGTATTCATTTTTTTCAAAGCTTCCCGATAGCATGTTCGGGCTGTTGCTGGATCTGTGCGGGCTACTCCTACACCAGTATCGGTAGAGAACTTGATGCAGGAGTGTTGAACATAAGCTATTGCTTCCAAATCCTCCAGTCCTGGACGGCCTAAAATGGCGTTGTGGGCGCAATTGATGTCGACTACCACGCACGTCATTCGGATTGCTGCCCGGTGAGTTTCGTCCCCAATCTCGACCAGGAGCTCGATGGTTCCTTCAGCCTCGATGCAATTTCCGGTGAAGCTGGCAAGTGGCGTTTTCAAATTCGTCAACTGACTCCTCTGGAGTCCCATCTTCTCGAACGTGTGCAAATATAGCACGTTCACACTGCTTCCTGTATCCACCAGGACCCGGCGGATCAGGGCATTATCGATACACATACTGATCACCAACTCGTCCCTGTGCGGACTTGGTGAGTTTGGCAAATCTGCCACCTCGAACGTGATCGGTGCCATTCTTCCTTTTTTCTGGGGCGGGGTGGATATGGAGGCTACGTACAAACCTCGCTTAAACTTTTTTCGTTCGGCCGCCGTATATCCCGTCCCCCCCACCCCACCGAAGATCACCTTCACCTAGGGGTGGTTCGGTACGGTATACCGAATATTTTCTCCCATACCTTTGTCGTACCAAAACTTTCGGTATACAAAATTTATATATCGTTACCTTACCGAAGTTTCGGTATACCGAAGTTTCAGCACGGTAATGGTACGGTATCGGTAAATTACCATAGACTAATAAAATACACTAAATCGGTGTTACTAGCGACATATTTAATCCATTATTCAAATGTTTCAAAATACAATTAATAATAATCTATTGATGTCATATTCAATATTGAACAATAATTATTTTTAGTATATTTAAGTAGTTCAACATGACATGTATTAAAAAGTAATACATTCTCCTAAAATAACTTGAATAATATAGATATAATTAAATCAATAGTGATCTCCAACAAAAATAAATAATATTTTTCAAAAAATATGGATATAAAATCATTTATTCCTAATATGATTGTGTATGGAAAAATTGATAGGAATAATCCCAACTATTGGCGGTCCGCTCATAATAATCTCAACTATCGATTATTTCAGAATAATCCCAACTATAGGGACCTTCCGCCAATAATGGTCCCTATAAATAAATTCTTGTAGTTTTTAAAGTGGATGAGAAGAGATATAGCAAGTAATCCCTATAAATAATCGCAACTTTTAATTTTTATGCTTAATTTCTATTTAAAAATCACTTGTTATAGGAGGTAATATATGGTCATGGACCATTATTGGCGGACGGTCCATATAGTTGGGATTATACAAAAATAATCAATAGTTGGGATTATTGTCAGCGGATCGGCAATAGTTGGGATTATTATTTTCAATTTTACCTTGTGTATTTAGTCATTTTATAATTTTGAACAAATATTTAAATAAGACTTTCAGACAAAGTTGTATGTTTTGACTCGCGGAATCTCTATGTAGATACACTCGTCACACTCGTCAGCGACTGAGCCATCGCGACTCGCAAGCTTTTGGGACAAGATGAACTTGTTTCTAGACATTAGTACAATACTCATTAGGGTAGTTTATTTGAATGTTACCTAATAGAAGCCTAGAAGGTTATAGTGCGTTTGGGAAATTGAACCTTTATTTTTGTATTTTGATATTTGGAACCAACCTAAGTACTAAGGTTAGGCTTCAAAATTGTAATGGACTTTACAATATTATAGAATTTAAAGTAATTTTTTGGGTAGGGAGTCGGTACGGTATTATACCGGTATACCGCGGTATTTAAAAACATTTACCGTTACCGTACCGAAATAAATCGGTACGGTATGATACCATATCGAAAATGACGGTATACCAATATTCCGGTATTTTCCTGTATTTTTCAGTACGGTAAGTGCGGTATACCAATTTTTCGGTATTTTTGCCCAACCCTACCTTCACCTCCATTCTTTGTTTCTTTCCTAGGTTTCTAGATCCCTGAGCCTCTTCCCCGGGGGCGTATATACATCATTTCGGGGTTCAACATCTCTCTGGCTGTCCCTTTTCCAGCTGTTTGGCTTCCCAAATTGGACGCTGATTCGGGGAAGGGCCGTTCGGGTTCTTACTCACGTACTTCCTCAGATAACCCTGGTGAATCAACTCTTCAATGACAATCTGCAATGCCCTGCAGCTCTTCGTAATGTGCCCGTATCGCTTATGATACTTGCAGAAGGCGTTCGGATCATTCCCCATAACCGGTTTGGTATCGGTTGGTGGGGGAATCATATTTTTCTCCTTCTGGAATACGCTCGCAATCGTCATAACCAGTGGAGTAAAACGCTTGTTCCTTGGATGGGGCGGTGCAGTTGCCGACATGGGACCTAACCGGTCTGCCAACCTTATAGGGGCAGGTTGCTGGACCGTTCGGTCCCTTATCCTGATTTCTTCCTCGAGGGCAGCATGCTTCCTGGCCCTCTCTAGCACATCTGCATAGCTCGTACTAGGGTTCTTCTTCAAATCCCTGTATAGTTCCCCGGTCTGGAGGGCATCGGTGAATAGGAGGATCGTCGTTTCATCCGTCATGCCTGTCACCTTCAGGGTTTCGCTTCTCCACCTGGTCAGGAAAGCATTGACGGATTCTTTTGGTCCCTGCCTTACACTGGTCAGGTACCCGAAGTGTAACTTGGGGGTGGTGCTGGAGGCGAACTGAGCTAGGAATAACGTGGACAGTTCAGCAAAACTTCTTATCGATCCCGACTGCAACGTGTCGAACCATTCTTGTGCCGGCCCCCGAAGAATGCTGAAGAATATCCTGCAAATTGCAGCATCAGTGGCTCCCAAGAGCATGAGGCCACCTTGGTAGCTTCTCAAATGTAAGGCCGTTCGGGGGTCGGCTAGGGGTGGGCGAAAATCCCGGTCCCGGTGTCCCAAACCGAAAAATCCCGATACCGTTCCGAAACTATCCCGATCCATTTAGGACGCAAGTATTTCATCCCGAACCGGTCCCGCACCGATATTAACCGGGACGGGCCTGGGATAGCTATAAAATATCATGTCCCGTCCCGGTGTCCCGTTTGAAATTAGTATGTTA